GTTTGGCTATGTGTCATTAATTCATAAGGATTGGTGGTGGAATAGTAATGAAAGTTGTGTCTATTGACGAAACCGTTTTTGTGAAATGTTGATTCATCCCCAAAAAAGTACAGAATCAAAAAAATCATTTTTATTATTAATGCTCTCTATTGCCCATTCACAAAAAGCTATTCTTTTTTGAAAATCGTTTTCAAGAAGCTCCTGATGACTTTGGATATGTTATGGATGTACTTTATTTTTTAATAGTATGTTGAAATAGCGCCAATTCAAAAGTTTCGTACTGCTTTGATCAACAATGACTGGAAAAGCAATATTTTCTCTACATACAAATCAATCATTAGAAAAAATCGTTGATGGTGATTTACATTTTTATAACTCTGTTGAAGCACATAGTTGTGAGCAATTAAAAAGGTTCTTGAAGTGACGTGGACGTTCGGAACGAGGAAAAAAGTGTGGTGATTGAGAGGTTAGGTTTCAATACATATTAACTGTGTAAAAAATTAATGAAAATAAATAATACTTCTAACTTTATTCTAATTAATTATGCCAACCAACTATTAATAATTGCAGAAACACTAACATGAAAGTTAATCACGAGTATAATTAATAAGATAAATTATTTAAAATTTTAAGGATCAACATGACATTCTATATATATATAAAATTGTTTGTCCTGACTGACTGATTGACTGACTGACCTATCAGCGTACAGCCAAAACTACTAGGCCTAGAAAGCTGAAATTTGGAACAGGTTTATTTTATAACGTAAGCATCCGCTAAGAAAGGATTTTTGGAAGTTTTAACTTTAAAGGGGGGAAATTGGAGGAAATGGGGGGAGGGAGCTTTTAATGAAACTCTTTGTTCTTTAAAGTTAGAAACATGAAAATTTAAATTACAGCTGCTGAGCAAAAATAAAAAATGACGTGTTTCAGGGTTTTTGGATTTTTTACATTTTAAGGGGGGAAAACAGGGGGTGAAAGTTTGTAAGGGACTATCGATTTTTTTGTTCTCTATGAAGTTAGAAACATGAAAATTGGAATTGCAGCTAATGAGTACAAATTAATAATAACGAATTTTAGAGTTTTTGGATTTTCACATTTTAAGGGGGGGAAACCGGGGGTGAAAGTTTATTTGGAAATATCGATTTTTTTAAAGGTAGGAACTTGAAAATTGGAATTGTAGGTTTTCATCATAAATAAATAATAAAGTGTTTCATGGTTTTCGGATTTTCACATTTTAAGGGGTGAAAATTAATAAAAAATTAATAAAAATTATTAAAAATTATTAAAAATTTTTAAAAATTTTTAAAAATTATTTCATTTTCCATGATGCGTGTACTGGTGTTTGGATTTTCGGTAACACTAAGTAGAATACTGAGTTCATTTTGTTCATTTAAAGTTCGTTTTTCTCTATAATTTTTTTGATATGCTACATTATCTGTACGTTTGAATCTTTCCAACAGATTTTCAAAAATATCTTTACGAGGTTGTCGGCGATCAGGATATTTTTGCTTATAAATTCTAGTTGCCAACAAGCAATTTTCATCACTAGCCCCTAGATCTAAAATCATATCTGTCAATTCATTCGTTTCAAAATTCATTTTTAAATTAGTCAAATCAATAAATTTAAATACTTGTGAACACTAAACGTAATTTTATTTTTTTATTTAAACAATTCGGAACTTTCAAATTATTCTTTTAACATGAATTTCAAAGCCCACTTGACCTAATGCACAAAAAATTGAAGTTCTGTTAGCGTTTTCATTGCATTTTATATAAAAAGTTGTAAAGGTCCCAAAAATAAATTCAGTTGATAAAAAATTGTACCAGGTACCTTAAAAATATAAACTGATTAACTAGTAATAAATGTAATATTTAACAAGAGTTTAAATCAAATTACATTGTGAATTTAGTTATAATTAACCCTTTTTAACATTTCATCTAAGAATCTCGCTAAACTGTTGTGTTTAGGGATAGGCAATATTTAACTCAAACGAACGTATAATTAGAGTACTTTTTAGTAGTGATGAAATACAGTGTGTTTACATTTAAAAAAAATTAAGAAAATCATGTATCTGAGTTTTGACTACACGTCTGTTGCGCTAGGAAAAAATTAGTATATTCTTATAAAAGTAGACTACTATCATTAAAAATGATTCATCAAAAAATTTTGATGTTCGATTGTTTCTTTTGAAATATACAGAGGGTTGAACCTAGTACGGTTTTCATATAAAATTGGTTTAAACTTCCAAAATATCCAGTATAACCTCATACATGTTGGTATTTTCTTGAAGGGCAAAGTCAGGGGAATTCAAATTTATAATTAAATACAGGGTGGTCCATTTAAAAAAAAACAGGTTTAATCAATTCTGAAGTTATGGATCACTCTGTATAATCGAAAATAATTTTGAAATGTGAGGATTAATATTATCTACAACTTTTGTAAATAACATTGTTTGATATTTTCTATAATATAGGATATTATCGAACTTCCACACACTATATTATAAATGCGAAAGTTTGGGTGGATGGATGTTTGTTGCTCAATCACGCAAAAACGGCCGAAAGGATCTGAATGAAATTTGGCACAAATATAGATTATAGTCTGGAATAGCACATAGGCTACTATTTATCCCGAAAAAATTTACGGTTCCCGTGGGATCGATTTGTTTTTGTTTTCCACAGAACAAGGGTTCGGACGTAATTTTTGGCATAGTGGTAGTGAAATATGAAAATTTTAAATAAATAATGTGTTTCAGGTTTTTGGTTTTTCACATTTTAAGGGGGGGGGGGGGGGGGGGGAGAACGGGCGTTAACAGTTTGCATTGAAGCATCGATTTTTTCATAGGTAGGAACATGAAAATTGGAATTATAGATACTTATCACAAATAAATAATGGTGTGTTTCAGGTTTTTGGATTTTCTTATTTTAAGAGGGGACAGAGGGAAAATGGGGTAAGGGGGGAAATAAGGGAAAATAGGGTAAATGAGTGAGGAGTGAGAGTTTGTATGGTAGGAACTTGAAAATTGGAATTGTAGGTACTATTCATAATTAAATAGACATGGTTCAAAATATTTGGATTTTACATATTAAGGTAGGAAACGGGAGGTGAAAGTTTGAATAAGATTTTCGGTTTTTTATTTATGTAAATTTGAAAATTGGAATTGTAGTAAGTAAAGTAAATAATGGCGTATTTCAAGATTTTTGGATTTTCCCATTTTAAGGAGGAAGGAAAATGGGGGAGTATCGTAAAAATAAAAATAACTAAAAATAAATAAAAATAAATAAAAATAAATAAAAATAAATAAAAATAAATAAAAATAAATAAAAATAAATAAAAATAAATAAAAATAAATAAAAATAAATAAAAATAAATAAAAATAAATAAAAATAAATAAAAATAAATAAAAATAAATAAAAATAAATAAAAATAAATAAAAATAAATAAAAATAAATAAAAATAAATAATAATAAAAATAAATAAAAATAAATAAAAATAAATCAAAATAAATCAAAATAAATAAAAAATTAACAGAATTTATTAAAAATAATAAAAATTAATAATCATTCATTTTTTAAAATTATAAATACAACACCACGCGTGCAAAGCCGCTGGCAAAAGCTAGTAATATATATATATATTTTTCGAAAGCTGCTTAGTTTATCGATATTGATCAAGATTTTTTAGTTTTAGGTTAATGAGAGGGGTAAACCTAAGGTCAAAACGTACTCGTATTTCGGAAATCACCTAAATTAATTTTATGACTTTTTTTCTCTTCCCTTGTGTTTTGATCCAAAAGCTGCTGCATTTGTATTTTTGAAGGACTCAGTGATTTCGGTGATGTTTTGGACCATGATGATTTCGGAAATTCCGAGAGCATTTGTAGTGAAAACGTACCAGTATTTCGGGAGTTTTTTATGTTGTCCAAAAATATTATTGTGCCTTTATCATACAGGATGTAAAATCTTAGCTAAGGTCTATTATTTTAAGAAGACTTATTTAGTATCTATCATATTAAAAAACTATTTCCAAGGGCGACCGTTATGGGATTGTATCTTCGTGTGGGGGAGAGTCGCAAGAAACAATATATGAGAAAAATTAGGAAAAGTTCCTCTTTTTTCTCTGAATCTCCCCATATTTTAAAACTTTGTTGGTTAAATTGCGTTTTTTTAAGCTATTGCATAGCTTTTATCGCGGGCTTTGAGCACGGCCACCGAATCAAGAAATTCCGTAACGAAAATAAACCTAACACCCCCCACTCCGACCGGCATAGCGGTGCGGCATTGAAAGCCGTGCATCGTCTAACGTCGTTTCAGTTCGGCAGACTTCGACACCGTGTTTGTGTGCGTGCGACTAGACGTATGCGTGTAGACTAGCTGCTAACTGCTCGTAACTGATTTTATCTCTTTTAGACACAATTTCGGAAAAATTGAATTTGAAAATGAATAATGATCCACAAGAATCCACAACAAAATATGGGACCACCATTGACGCGGTATTTTCCAGATATTTAGAGGATATCAAGTCTCAAACTTATGTTTTTTATTTCAGTTACCATAAACCTATAGTTTCAATGATAAAAATTCCTGAATAACCTACATGTATTGTAAGATAATAAAAATATTTTAAACAATTTTAACTTCTCATTTATTCAATAAAAGAAAAAAAAAATGTTTTCTTATCGGTCACCACGCTCAAAAAGTGTAACTTGAATTAATATCAAGGAAAAAACTTGAATTAATATCAAAGAAAAAACTTGAATTAATATCAAAGAAAAAAAAAATACTGCATAAATAAAATAAATAATTATAATTGCATAAGTTGATAAAAAATGCTATGCAATAGCTTTACCGCGGCAGTCCCCGAGTGTCACACGTATTTTGTATTAACATTTATATTATTGATTATATCTATTTGTAAATTTTCCGCTATGATTTTTGAGTAACTGTTTCAGTATACATTTCTACATGTTTCTCTGACGTTATACATTTTGATTGTAGGAAGAAACTTTCGCGAAAGAAATGGCGACAGTAATGGTTTTGGAGGTGGTAACGATAATGGTTGGGGGGATGATGGAGATTCCAAACCTAGTGGAGGAGGTGGTTGGGAAGATAAGAATTCCGGCGGCGGAGACGATGGAGGCTGGGGCGGTAACGACGGAGATTCTGAAGGAAGAGGTATGTATACGAATTAGAACAAGAATTTCGTTATGTTTAGGTAATTCACGATAATCGACGTGAATTATAGGATGTCCGGAAATTGCGTGTACATGGATTTACCACATATTTATGGACACAAAATCAGTTGATTTTAAAAAACTTTCCTATTTACCAAAATGCTTAGTTTGGTCGCTAGAGGTCAACAAAGTTTTATAAAAATATCTGTTTTCTCTTTAATTTTCAGAATTCAGACATTTTAAATGATTAAACTTAGTACTAGGTGTTTTATGGCCAATTTACGAATAATTTTTTAACATTTCTGGCATTAAAATAGAAAACTGAAGTTTAACTCAAAAAAAGTTACTCTTGTTTGATGTCGTCATGATTTGAACTTTTCATATAATCATAATTAACATCACTACTTAGTACTATGGAAGATGGTATTAATGAAATAATGAAGGATTCCTACAGGCCGCTTTCTGTATGCCGTATATAAAAATTAGTTCATTGATACCATCTTCCATAGTACTAAGTAGATATGTTAAGCATGGCTATATCTCTAACGAGACGCTTATGATCGACATAAATTGTTCCTGCTGCTTTTAATTGGCTATAAGACACCTACTATTCCTACCAAGTTTTATCTATTAAAATGGCTGATTTCTGAAGATTAAGAAAACTTTTTTTGAGCCATAAATCTGTGGTAGCTCCATGTACACGCGATTTCTGGACACCCTGTATATGCATACTAAAAACTAACTATGACTGATTTATAGGTCGTGGAAGAGGTCGCGGTGGTCGAGGTGGAGGAGACAGAGGCCGCGGTAGAGGCGGTTTCAATAGAGACGGTGACAAAGGGGGCTTTTCAAATAGAGATGGTGACGGCGGCGGTTTCGGCAAAAATAAAGAGGATGGCGGCGACGATGAGCCGCCAAAACCAAGAGAAATATACGTTCCACCGGAACGTACCGCCGACGAAGATCTGTTTACTAGCACCATCACTTCCGGTATCAATTTTGTTAAACTGAATGAAATTGAAGTAAATGTAAGTATGAATATTGATCAGTGTTAATATCGGGAAAACTATAAATTATTTCCTATTATTTATTACAGGTTAGTGGAGAAGAAGTACCGCCACCTATGGACACATTCGAATCCTCAGGTATGCGGCCTCACCTAATAGAAAATGTTAAAAAATCCGGTTACACGAAACCGACTCCAATTCAAAAGTATGCCATACCGATCATCATGAACGGACGAGATTTGATGGGCTGCGCCCAAACAGGTTCTGGAAAGACTGTAAGTTTTCTATTTGGGGCTCTTCAAGCAATCTCAAGACAACATACGGTGCTGAAAGTAGTTGAACTGTTTTTATTTAATTTTCAGGCGGCCTTTCTTCTACCGATCATACACAGAATGCTTTCAAGTCAAGAGCCTCCAGTGACAGAGGGAAATTGTTCCCAACCCAATGTCATTATTGTATCTCCGACGAGAGAATTGGCCATACAAATATACGAGCAAGCCAAAAAATTCGCTTACAACTCAATCGTTAAGACAGTCGTAGCGTACGGAGGCACGTCCGTGAACCATCAGAGAACCCACGTTTTGAGTGGTTGTCATATACTTGTAGCGACGCCAGGTAGATTGAACGATTTCGTAAATAAGGGACACATCTCCTTTGCGTCTTGTCAATATTTTGTGCTCGATGAAGCGGATAGGATGTTGGATATGGGATTTTTGCCTACTGTCGAACAGATGTTGGGACATTCAACTATGCCTGCCACTGTAAGTAATTTTTTTTAGGTTTGATGAACTTTAAAATAGACCAAAATAACTTTAAAAAGAAATTAATAAACATTACAAAAATGTGTTAAAACTTTTATGAACGGTAATACACGAAACATAATATATTGGCACTTATGACAGTGAAAATGCACGTTTAAAAAATATTCTTAACTCCATATTAAATCTGATAGAACATGAAAATAATAGCAATATCCTATTGTAATAGTTTTGAGCTTTAAAAAAATAATCCACCTTAAAATATTTTCTCACTCTTTATACCCGATAAAACGATACATCGCATTTTGAAACGTAGTAGTTATAACTTAATTTAATAAAACGACACTGAGAGACAAATACGGCCCCTTTTTTCTTCGAAATTGTAAGATAGATTGACATCTTGGTGCACTTTTTTTAAAACAGTTTGTTTGCAAACACTCTTTGGGTATGTTGATCATTTTGAAACAAGCAAAAATGTCCATCGAAGCAAAAAGTATCTCTCGGCATGAAAAGGAAAAGGCTAAAGGCTCTAATAATTCAATAGTTGTTTTTGATAGAAAATAGTCTTTTTTTTTTCACATTTATTTGTTGTACTATTTCACAATATATTTTTTAGTAGTCATATAATGATTTTTCTGTATTTTGTTAATAAAAATATATAAGTAGGCAGCACACCTGCACATTAATTCTTCTCTAAAAGTTTAAAAGTGCAATAATTATTGTATCGTTTTATAGTGGGTAAGTTTAAAGTTTCAGTATACCTAATTCAAAGTACGATTGTATCATTTTATAGTGGGTAAGCTCAAAGTTGAATTTAGACAAATGCAAAGTTCGATTCTGTCATTTAATAGTTTGTTATTACATAGTTGAAAGAATTTTAAAAAATGCAATTAACACACCCATTTTTTTAAGTGTTTATGGCTATTTATTTAATTCAATAAAAAACTTATTGTTTATTGCTCTCTCGTGTTACTGAAACTAGTATATAAGCAAATATGTCTTTCCAGGGCGAACGCCAGACGCTAATGTTTTCAGCCACATTTCCTGAAGAAATTCAGCATCTGGCCGGAAAATTCCTATTCAATTACATTTTCGTAGCGGTCGGTATTGTAGGCAGTGCCTCCACCGACGTAGAGCAGACTGTTCATCAAGTGAACAAGTTTGAAAAACGAGAGAAACTAATCAAAATGTTGCAAGAAGGTAAATCGTTTATATGCTGTTCAGTTTTTATTTAAATTAGGGTTGGCCAGAAAAAATTGATATTTTTCACTGTGTATATTAAGTAATATTTTTTAAAATTATGTGCTGTTACATTTCATTTACATCATTTGAAACTGCGTTTTCAAATTGTATGATATAAAAAATCTTTGAAGTGGAGAAATTTATTATCAGTCCATTATAAACATAAATGTCATTAGATTGGTTGCAAACCTATTCTCAATAATAAGTAAATCTTTTTCCCTCTACCTTAATTTTTGAGGGATTACTGTTTTAATAGTTTTCTTACCTGTTGAAAGGTAAAATTGTAAGGAAAAACTTCTCTTACTGATGGTAACATCACGTTGTCTAAGATGTATATGTAATGCTCGGCTCTTAATGCCCCATCAATTTGCCAGCACATTCCAGGACTGTTAATGCTTATCCACGTCCAACCATTGACAGAAAAGCGCCTTTTATTAGTAGTACTTATAATTCTCTTCGAATCTGGAGTTTCTAGAATGATAAACTCGTAAGCCAGCTTATTTTAAATGCATTATTTGAGCTATTCTGAGAGATCCTGGGAATGTTTCTTCTCGTGTTTTCACAACGATTCCAAAAGCATTTTGACATATGGGTGATTCTCGTGTAACTGCGATTTTTACAACTTACATTTTTCTAAAATTAAAAATGTTTTAAAACGTATGTATTACGCGTTTTTGTTTTCTATTTATGCACAGAAATAAGCCTGTAAAGTGGTTCTACTACAGCTACTACACAACGAAAACTGTGACAAAATTTAAAAATTTTAATGCCACGGTACTTGACATTATTTCCACGGTACTGACATATAAATGAATATTTTTTTTTACCAATCGAAAGATTGGTATAAAATTGCAATAAAATTCAATGCAGTATGCATTCGATTGTAGTTATATGAGGTAAATTTTATATTAAAAAATGAATTTTTATAGAAATTTATATATTTAATTTTAAAAATGAGAATCAGACATGCCACGGTACTGACATTTTGAGTATATTTATATGCAGTTTATAAAAAATTACGAAGGTTTATTCATAATGTCGGTTGTAAAATTCCTCTAAATTTATAATATTAATAAATTTTGATAAGGAAAACTTATGCTAAACGATAAATAAAACACTGGACATAAAAAATCACAGTTATCCGAGAATCACCCATATATTCTACAAGAGCATTGTCTTTATTTTCATTAGAGACCTGCCCTACACCTTGTCTGAAAGGTCTTTGCATTCTTTGTTTCTTTATGTTAAATATGAAACTTACTGACATTTAATTCAGTGGCCACTTCGCTTAAAGACCAATTTTCTTCCAATTTTGCCATAGCCTTCGCCTTTTGAGTCCCAGTTAAATTCTGTGCCCTTTTTGAAAATTTATTTGACAATAGATCTTTTCCTTTGCATCGAAAGTGTAGCACTGAGCTACGCCACTTCTGAAAATATTGTTCAATCCATACAATTTGTATAAATGGAACGATATTTTCAGAAGTGTAGCTCAGTGCTACACTTTCGATGCGACGGAAAAGACCCATTAATCTAATTGCGACGAATGACTACGATGCAAAGTCTTAATTACACCATTAAATTTTGGCATTCATATTTATGTTTCATCAACTGTACATACTGTGACGAAAGTCTAATTTATTTTTAGTTTATTTATTTAAAAACACACTATTTACAATTTATTTCAGACGTACTATTTAATTTATGTAATATTTAGACACTAACTAACAATTCTAATTTATTTCTTACACTTTAACTTTTCAATACAATGTTCTACATTAAACTATACTCGGCGCTGATACGCCGGCTATTTATATTAGTTCAACTCCGCTACTGAAAATGCTAGAGGCTTCCGACAGTCGTCTCGAACATTCCATTCCTATGAGTAAACGGCACTCTCTGCCGTTCCAGCTGTTTGGTGCGTCAGCGGTAGGCATCTCGTCGTTTCTTGTTCATTCGAGAAGCGGTCCGATTGTTTCCACACGTCATCATTGCTCCGATCACGAGTTGGTTGCGTGCGTAGACAGAGTCGGACTTAATAATTTCATAACAATACAGTGTTAAATTGTGTCTGCATTTGTAAAAAAAATTACATTAAAATGAAATTTTTGCTCCAACATAAGGCTATTCCGTCCATATACTGTTTTATATTTTTTATGTCTAATAGATTTAATAATTTTGTATTTTGTCAGGTGTAAAGTATTAAATTTTAATATGCAATTGCCAAATGAGTCCTTTTTACTAGGGATGTACCAGAATTCCGGCGGTACCACTAAATCCGGTCTTTTGCAAAAAAAAGGAAAATATTTTAAACTTTATTAAATTGAAAGTAGTTATAAAACAATAACTTTTATCTAACATTTCTAAAGTCGTATTTGCAATAACGCGAAACGAAATAAATCAAGGTCCTTTTACCACAGGTGGTATAGAAACATGTTGGCAATTTTAAAATAGGTTAAATATGCAAAAAAACAAGGAAAATATTTTAAACTTTATTAAATTGAAAGTCGTTATAAAACAATGACTTATCTATCTATCTATCTAAAGCTGTGTTTGCAATAACGCGAAATGGAATAAATCAAGGTCCTTTTACCACAGGTGGTATAGAACATGTTGGCACATCTCACGAAGCTCATTCTCAGAGTTTAGCTTTGCCTGTGCTTAATTTTATGCTTATTTTGCTGAAGTTTATGGTGATTTTGTAAACTAATTTGTAGTTGTTTTTGGACTGTTGCTAGTTTTATAAATATTTTGGTATAGAACTGCAAAATTTACGAAAATTGCAGAGTTTTGTATTTTAGATAAGATATAATTTGTAAAATAACGTTGGCATACTTCCTTATAGGTCCCGATCTAGTACACCCCTACTTTTTACCCTATTTGTTATAGACTAAAGTTTGTGGATCATTGATTTTAATTGTATTCAAGATCTTACCGGCAAAATATCTTAAAGCATAATTACGTGGGTGGATCAAATATAAACAAGCCTTTTAAAATTATAAATGGACAAGTCATTCAAAGTGAACGTGGCTATTATAGTATTGGAGTAGGAATATTCAGCAGCATGTAAGCAGCTGGTAGTGGCGCGATTCTCATTTGGCCCAGTAGCAATCGCAATGAGCGAGACGAGGGTACACAGCAGTGTTGCGCAAAGAATAATTATTAAATTTCTTACGCGCGAAAACGTGAAACCTGCTGAAATTCTACGCAGATTGCGAGCACAGTTCGGGAATGAAAGGCTTTCTTGGGAATGTGTAAAATCTTGATGCAAAACGAGCAAGCATGGAGTGGCGACACAAAGACGAATCAAACCCAGTGAAGGCGTAAACTCGTCTGTCTGTAGGCAAAGTTTTAGCGACCGTTTTCTGGGACTGGAAAGGAGTTTTGTTGGTAGATTTTTGCATAAGCGAAGAACAATAAACGCGGCTTACTACTGTAACTTACTCGTCCAGGTAAAGCTTGCTTATCGCCAAAAGAGGAGAGCACACCCCATCCGAGACGTGTTGCTTCTGCATGACAACCCTAAACCTCATACGACAGCTTTAACACAGGCCAAAATCAATGAAATGCACTAGACTGTGCTGGAACACCCTCCATACAGTCCAGATTTGTCACCTTATGATTTTCATATGTTTAGGTCACTCAAAGATTCACTGGGAGGCGGGCGATTTCAGACTATTTAAGAGGTGGAGGCATTTGTGCGCAACTGGTTAGCTACCCGCCCCGCTTATTTTTATGAAAACGGGATTAAGAAACTGCCAATTCGTTGGAAAAAGTGTATAAACAAAGAAGGGAAATATGTAGAAAAGTAGAAAAAATAATTGTTTTATGTCATATTTAAAAATAAATAGTTTAAAAAAGAAGGCTTATTTATATTTGATCCACCTACGTAAATATTATTGAGACAAATCTAGCCAATCATTTTTATTTTTAGTTAAAAAAAATTATTTGTTACTTCATTGAACACTTCGAATTTTATACTGATTATTGACTTACAGTAAATTAACAATATTTTAGATTCTTTAATTTTATGCTTGCTTTGGTGGTGATTGGTTTAATTTACTTCTCTTTACTGTCCTTTGTCTTATAGCGCAGCAGATATCCATTTTTTGATCGATATAAATTTAGAATAAATATTAAAAGAAAAACCAGAAAAACGGACAAGCTTTAGAAAACGGAAAGCTTTTAGAAAACCATTATATAAATAACAAGGTGTAGTTTTCCAACCACAAAATATTTCCTAACGTCCCACAGAGAGGCAAGGTTAGACAAAATTCACCAAAAACTCTAGAATGAAAATTTAGGTAACTGACAAAAATAACCACGGTAATCCTACTGCAATAAATCCTTCTTTCGAAGTCACAATAGCCTTGGATTGTCCGCGTGATAAAACAAAAGATAAAGATTGTCAAAAAAGGCGTTTTAAATGCGTATATTGCTGTAATTTTTTAAGTGCAAATAATATTGATAAATTCGGTCTACTCTTTGTACTATAATAATCGAATTAACTTTAATAATAATGATGCAAAATAATCGACGTGATAAGTAGATTATTATTGTATAAAAAAAAATCTGATGTGTCCAAAACATGACTTTCCTATCTAGTTATTATAGGCTTTTTCCGGTTCTTTTGTACAACCTATTGCAGCATCTCTATAAATGTTTAGAGGATAAACTAAACATACACATTGTCCACATACATCTACCTCGAAACAATTTTCTATAGATATTCATTGAAAACGAAAATACTGAAAAATTTAAATTTAGCCCTTTTTCATTACGGTCCATTTTAGAAAAATCATGTATAAACAAAAATTATAGAGATCGATATCGCAAACAACTTTTAGTTCAACAATTTTCATAAAAATCAGAATTTTGCACATTTTGTCAATTTTTTCAAATAAGGATGATTTCAGGAAATTTTGACATAAAGCAAAAATTATAGATAATAATATTAGAAGTAACTTTTATTTGAGCTTTATAACATGGTGGTGAGACCCATAATAACATACGCAGCTTTGGTGTGGTGGCCAAAGACACAGCAAAGGAAAGCAATAACGAGGCTAAGCAAGGTACAAAGACTTGCCTGCCTCGGAATAACGGGGGCAATGAAAACAACCCCCACTGCTGCAATGGAAGCACTAATAGGACTCCCACCTCTTCACTATGTGATACAAGGGGAGGCAAGATTAGGTGCTTACAGATTAGGGAATACACTGGGAAATCTTGACATTAGGCCAGGTCACATGAGTATCTCAAGGTTAGTGACAGGAGACGTGCTAGACATGAGATCAGACCACATAACCAAGAGGTACTCTTTTAATACTCCCTTTGAGGTTTTAATACAGGAAAGAGCGGAGATCACCATAAGGGAGCCCAATGCCCAACAACAGGAACAAACCTGGTATACAGACGGGTCTAAGACTGCGGAAGGCACAGGGGCAGGAGTATTCTCCAAAAACCCTGATACTAACCATAGTTATGCTATAGGAATACATTCCTCGGTATTTCAGCCCGAGGTATACGCAATTTTGCAATGTGCAAAAACGAACAATGAAAGAGCTATCGAAAATCAGCATATTCAAATAATGTCAGACAGCCAAGCGGCACTTAAGGCCATATCGAGTCAGAAAGTTACGTCGAGGCTGGTATGGGAATGCATCGAAGAACTAAGAACACTGGCAGACCGAAATAGAGTAAAACTATTTTGGGTGCCAGGTCACAAAGGGATCGAAGGCAACGAAAAGGCTGACGAACTTGCAAAAAGAGGGTCAGAAGAAACACCGGAACCAGACACAAACCCAGGAGTACCAAAAAGTACAGTCCGGGGTTTTATAAATGACTGGATTTGGGAACAACATATCAACTATTGGGGAAGCACCCCAAAACAGGCACATGGAAAAGCCTTCATAGGCAGACCATGTCCCAAAAGAACTGGAGAACTACTCTTAATGAATAGGAACCAGTTGAAAGTGATAACAGGGTTCATGACTGGGCACGCCCCAGTAAAGGGACACTTGAACAAAATTGGCATGTACAATGGAGAACTCATGTGCCGACTATGTCACAAGAAACCAGAAACGGCCAAACACATACTGTGCGAATGCGAAGCTCTAGATCGCAAAAGACAGGCTCTTTTTGGACAACCCCAGGTTGATCCAACAACGTATAGAACCCACTCACCCAAGGATCTGTACAAACTTGTACAAGGTACAAAGGTGATAGAGTGGGTGCTATGAACTAACATGGGGTAAAACACAATAAGCCAATAGGCTTCAGTGTTATTCGGAGACACATAGTCAGACGAGCCCAGGAAAAAAAAAACTTATTTGAACAATTTTCTTCTCCAAACATAAATAACAGATATATTCCATAAAATATAAAAACGGCCTCCCATAAAGTACCCCCCCAGATGTTCCGACTTTGTCCAAAATCTAATCATTTCACGTCAGGCCGAAATAAATCTTAAGTTTAAAATTTAATGTTTTTTTCTTTATCCGTTTTTGAGTTTTCTTCAAAATTCGAAATTTACACATTTTCTCGAATATCTCGAATACGGTCCATTTTAGAGAAATTATGTATAGAATAAAAATTATAGAGAATTATATCACAAATAACTTTTATTTGAACAATTTTTATAAAAAATTATTTTTTTTACATTTTGTCAAATTTCTCGAATACGGACCATTTTAGGAAAATTTTGTATAGAACAAAAATTATAGATAATTATATTAGAAGTAACTTTTATTTGAAGAATTTTCTTCTCCAAACGTAAATAACAGATATATTCCATAAAATATAAAAATGATCACCTATAAAGTACCCCCCCCCCCCCCAGATGTTCCGACTCTGCCCAAAATCTAATCAGTTCATTAGACGCTGGAATAAAGCTTAAGTTTAAAATTTGGTGTTTTTCTGTGTATCGGTTCATGAGTTATGCGACCTACAGACACACACAGACATCATCGCGAAAATAGTCAAAACGGATTCAGGGGACCTCAAAACGTAAAAATCCGTCGAAAACTCGAGGTCAAAAAAAATCATGATTCCTATACTTACCTTATATCTGTATACAGATAGGAAAGTAAAAAGTATAGCAGTATTTTACTGTTATTCCATGGAGGCATTTTTATGAGTTGTGCAAAAATTAAAAAAAATATTTAGACCTAGGATTTCTTTTAGTCAAAAAGGATTTTGGCACATTTTCTTTTCGTGAACATTCTTATTTATAGTGGTATTGCGATTAGCTGCTAGTTTTTGCTTATAAAGCGGTAATTTAGGCATGCGCAAGAGGGTGATATTTTTGTAACACTATTACTAGAAATGGCAGTCGGGCAACTTATTTATAATTTTTTTTTAATTCCTGTTTTGTTACCTCCTGCGTGATGCTAATTATTACATTTATTTGTCTATAATATGCATCTTATGAAAAACCCTAATTAAATCGGAATTTATCGGTACGTTTATTTTGGTTTTTTCAGCCTTTCTTGATAAGAGTTTACTTTCCGCACACTTATAAAAAACTATTTCTGCAATGAAATGATTTTTTTCTAATATAAATAAATTTGCTCTCTATGTTTGTGTTGTTTTAGATTATTTGAACTTAGAAATTAGTCGAAGAGATCTGTGGGAAAAGATTAAAAAATGTCCTTCAAAAAAACAAAACCGACAATGTACATATCATAAAGAATACATAAGAAATTTAACAAATTGCCCAATTGACAAGTTTCAAATTATTTCAAACCAAATTTCAAAATTTAATTTTAAAATAAAATGGCCAAAAGCTTGCAGAGTTACGTCAGTTTTTGCTAAAACAAATAAAAACCTGGCTAGATACCAAAGTGGTATTTACCAACTAAACACGCGCTTTAGATCAATTAAAAATTGGACGCCCTTTGAGTGATTTTTCATTTAGTTGCGAAAACTGCTGATATGCGCAAGGAGAATTCGATCGAGGTTATCTGTTATGCGGCTCAAATGGAGCTCAGAAAATCTGGTAAAGTGCAAGCCTCCAAACTTATACAAGAATTTATAAGAATCCTGTGAGAGCTACTGAATATATAAGTGCTTTAAATAGAGGTATGACTACAGATACTAAAACAAAATTGTCACCAGAGGAGGCACTTTCAGTTTTAGTGGAAGCGAACTTATCTTTTAATCAATATAATTAGAGAAAAGGACAAAGCTAAATTTTCCTTATGTAAAGTTGTGCAACAAGCCAAGCATGTTACCCTAATAATATAAAATTTAGTTCCATTTCTGTAGAAGTTGAACTTCAATCCCTACTTCACAACACTACCAAGAGAATATTGTTATTACAAAAAGAAATGTTGGGTAGGTTTAATCGAAAAATACTAAATAAAGTATTGTTGATATGCAAATGGGGTTCTGATGGCTTCTCTGGACAAAACAGTAATTACCAGTTATGATTATTTAACATGTATTGCCTGAAAACAGCACAATTACTCATAGATAGATAAATATTCTTGGTATTATATGACGCCAACAGTTCACTTAATTTTAAATAAAATTATTCGTTCTGTACTTTTTCCAAATGCCCAGCACCCAGAAGAGGCTGCAGAAAGTAGAAACAAAGATTTTAAAAAATATCGAGAAAGCTTCGCTAGAAAAATAGCTCGAGAGAAAACTAATGAAGATGTTTTAAGGGGCTTCTTCTCTCTTCGGATCCTGTTATTACTGGTATTAGAAAAACTCAAAAATTAAAGAGAAATAATTTTTCTAGCGTTTATCCATGCTTCTACCACCAGAAGTTGATGACCAAATTAGTCATGTTTCTGATAGTGATAACTCTTTGGATTGTAATTTTGATTAAATATTAGTTTTAAATAATTATTGTTCCAGCTATAGACCTTAGTTTATTGTCTATATTTTCAGTTAATACATTGTCAAACCACCGATATATTATTATAAAAGCCTTTTAATTAAAAAAAATGTTAATTTAGTATTTTGATAATGTTTGAAGTGTGTTCTGTAGCAAAATATTCTGTTGTGTTTTGTTTTTTCTTTATGTTTCCACTCTTGAACTTAATTTGTCTTCAACAAATAATGTAATTTCAGAAGGGATAATTTTATTATAAAAGATAGTGATTAATATATCTACCAATACATACTCCTACTAAGCTGTTTTACTACTTGAGTTTCTCACAACTTTTTAAGGAATAGCCTGTATCTACTTTAAAAGGTGTCAGTTATAATGAGACACCCTGTATAGTGTCAATAATATCTCTGTATATTTACACTTTAAACATATGACAGAATACAAAGTATAAGCTTTAATGCTGTTCAGAATTGTGGGTAAGTTTTGATGCTTTTTGCCCCTGTGTGCGTCCGTCCGTGGGCAGTTTAAATTCATATGAAATATTCAAACCATTCTAGTTTTTTCGTGTGTTCATAATATTATTACTTTCCTTTTTTTTCTCTCAATTTATAATTGCAACGATATATAATTTTTTTTTCTGTAAAAAAAATTACATATTTTTAAAAATAATATGAAAATATAGGTTGCAATTATCATTCATATAATTATTTCATTTTTAATTACTAATCAAATGAATGTATTGACAGTGTCAATATTACTATACAGAGTGAATGATGTTTAACTTTCATAGCCACCTCTGATTTACAAAGATGCTGAACGTTATATACTTTGCCGATAGTATCGATAACAATCATTAATTTTTAACAGGCAATAATGAAAAGACTGTGGTATTCGTGGAAACCAAGAAGATTGCCGACTTTTTGGCGACGGTATTGAGCGAATATGACATTAAAACCACCAGTATTCACGGCGATCGTTTGCAAAGGGAACGCGAACAGGCGTTGTGGGATTTCAAAAAGGGCATTTGTAACATATTGGTTGCTACCGGCGTGGCGGCCAGAGGATTGGACATAGAGGGGATCCAACATGTAATCAACTACGATTTGCCAAAGAGTATTGATGAGTATGTCCACAGAATCGGTCGTACCGGAAGAGTGGGTAAGTACTATCTTATATTTAATGGGAGATTCTCTCTTTTTTTTATAGATATATTCATAATAATATAAACATAAGTCTCATTCATATTTTTTATTCATACCTGAATTTGAGAAAAACATTTTAATCATGGTTTTTAAACTTTAAATCGTTAGGTTCCTAGTTTGATATGTAATGTCTAGGAATTGACAAGATTACAGATTTATTTTGCTGTTTGCTGTTGCCTTGCGAGTCGAAATATAATAGAAAAAAGTGATTTGTACCAAATTGTTTAAAACGTTTATATTTGAGTCCAGAGAGTTGAATAAGGGAAAATTGTTGTTGCAGACAGTAGGTGTAAAAAGTTCAAAAATACTATGGAAGCGATTTTCCGATTGTAATACTTCCACAGAACAGATTAAATCCCTAAGAAACAAACTTACATCTTTGCCACATATCAAAGTAGTAACAAAACATTTTAATAAGGACATTTTCCTGACCGTAGTAGAATTTTATTAAATATTGACTGGCACCAGAAGATGGAACAGTGTTTCCGAAACATATGTAGTGCCTGTACTTAAATTTTATAAAAACAATAAAAACGACCGAATAAACCAGTGAACTTTTTATTTATATAAAACATTTTAAAGTTTCACAACCTGACTTTCTTAATTTTAACTATCTAGTAATTATTTTTAAGAGGTGTTCCATAAATATACTGACAAACTTCTAGAGGTGGAAGTTTACACAAATATAATAATGCCCAGTAGTAATTTGCAATTTTCATAATTTTTTGTTTTAAAGCTGAAATATACAACTTTTTATCCCCTATTAATTTTTCGTATCTTTTTTTTTATTTGAGAATAAAATTAAAATCCAAACTGACAGGTCTGTGAAGCAACTAAAAATACGATTCAAAATTAACACGAAACGAAAAATAAGGGAAAAAATTGTAATTCTTTTTCAGCAAAAGTCATGGGACTTGTTCTGTGGGCAATCCTATGGAAGTTTTGGATACAAACTAATAGGTCTAAAAGATGCCTCATTAAGATGTATAATTGTACATAAGGGATGTGGTAACCACAACACCACTACACCCAAATCAACATGCATACACCCCAGGCAGATCTACTGTTTCAACCCTTCATATACATAGGTGTCTTTAACAAGACCACCTTCACGAAGATAAGGCTCGCTAACCAACAGGAATGTTCCACAAAAGGTCAGTGGGTGGTTACATAACATGCTTTCAAAGCAAGCAGTAAACAGAACTGTAGAAGACGTGAATATAAGAGGCTTGATTGTGAGGGGATGTCCTATCACCTTTACTGTGGAATATGCTCCTCAAAACCCTCATCAACTTACTCAATAATGACAGTCTCCACACAATAGCATATGCAGACGACCTGGTCATTCTGCAAACAGGAAATTTTGAGAACATACTCTGTGAACAAATGCAAGAAGCTCTCAAAATTATAGGACAGTGGTGTCACTGTCTATCAATCCCAAGAAGACAGAAATGGTTATTTTCACAAGAAAAAGAATGAAAATGGAACTAAAATCTTCAGATCTCCTTAACACAAAACTAAACTTTAGCAACAGATGAAGTACCTAGGTCTCGCTTTTGACAACAAGTTAACATGGAACTCATACCTAGAAAACAAAAAAAAAGCATACATTGCTTATGAACTATACCCCCGAACCGTGGGGTGCACCTGTGGTCTCTCCCCCAAAGTCATCGCATTGAGGATTTACACAGCTATCATCTATGCAGTTGTCTGTGTACCAAAAACCCAAAAATTGACAGCTATCCGCAAACTAGAACAAATTCAAAGAACAGCATGTCTGAACATAACAGGTGCTATGCAAACCACACCGACCAGAGCCATGGAAGAAATTCTTAATCTCACTTCCCTTGTTATTTACAAGGAGGTTGCTCTGATAACAATGACACACTTCCTCACTTTTGGAATAGAACCTGATGTAAGATCTGGTGAGGCTAAACGTCGCTTTTGGCAGGAGCCGCTCGATATGCTTCAGACGAACATGGACTCCATCTTACAGAGATAAATAGCTTCCATAAGCCATATAAAGTTATAATAGAAGAGCCGGAAGTGGGAGATACGATTCATATCTACACTGACGGTTTTAAAACAAAACAAGGCTCAGGATGTGGAATATACTTCAGATCCTAAAAGCTAAACATAAAATGGGCTGTGAGCAATAGGCCTTTTCATCATGTGATGAGCGCAAGCGCAGCCGCCATGTTAAAATAGCGCCAATTCAAATCTTTCGTACTGTTTTGACCAACAATGGCTAGAAAAGCAATATTATCTCTACATTCAAATCAATTATTAGAAAAAATCGTTGATGGTGATTTAAATTTTTATAACTCTGTGGAAGCACATAGTTGTGAGCAATTGAAAAGGTTCTTATAGTGTCGTAGACGTTCGGAACAAGACAAAAAAGCGTGCTAAATGAGAGGTTAAGTTTCAATACTTGTTTAATGTGTAAAAAATTAATAAAAACTAATAATAATTATAGCTCTATTCTAATTAATTATGCCAACCAACTATTAGTAAATGCAAAAATACTTTAAGATGAAAATTAATCTCGAGTATAATTACCTAATAAGATAAATTATTTAATATTTTAGGGATCAACATGACATTTCTAATAATATTACTGTGTGTACCGAAGTAGTATTTTGTATTAAAAAAATATTGTGTAATACCAGATAAGGATTTTCTTCTGTTATACCACTTTCTCCATGAAAATGTAGTGAACAAATATAAGTATTTTTAGTAACATCATCAAGCGATCGAAAACCTTTGTCATTTCGACTAAATTTTTTTCACCCATATATTGCTCATTTTGATCATGTTTTAATATAAGCCATTTTTTCACCCATATATTGCTCATTTTGATCATGTTTTAATATGTATTTTGCCTAATGATTTGATAGGTTTTTTACGATTTTGTAGACAAGTCTTTGGAAAATTTATAAAGTAATAATGTATTACCTTTAAATGATTTATACCGTGTTTCACTTTTACATACTGCATAACAATACCGTTTCGTTTTCCCTTTCCGTACAGATAACATAATTAATTGCAAATATTTATTTTTCAATTAAGAAACTTATAAACTTATTACTTTACTTTTTTTCTTTTTTTTTTTTAAATGAATATGCTTAAATTAATATTATTCGATTTTAATATTTTTCACGTAGAAATTTTAAATTTTAACATGATTGTTTACAAAAAACAGTACAAAAAATATGGCTGATACTGACGCACGCGCACAAAAAAATTTGTAATGAAAAGGCCTATAATGCCAGTTCAAACCCAGCTCACGGGGATTCTCATAGCAGCAAAAGAAATCACCAGAAATAATATCACTGGAAGAAACATGTTCATTTATACAGATATAGCAGACTACTCACCCTGGATAGACCATGAATTTACTCAGTTTTAGTACTAGAATGTCACAAAGCTTTTGCTGAAGGATCCATCAACAATGTGGTCAACTTAAGATAGATCAAAGGTCATGCCACCTGATTCACTAGCCAAGAAGGCAGCCAAAGAAATACTTTTTGGACCTGGCCCTTCTTCTTTTGGTCTGGCAACACTGGTAGTGACAAACCTAATTAAAGAACGTTCCCTTGTGAAATTCAAGGTAAGATGGTAAGTTATCCTGACAACACTACAGCAAACAAATACTTGACTAAGACTAGACAGATTCTGTGCCTGTTCACAGGCCTTCTGACTGGACATTGCCTAGTACGGAAGCATCTCCATATCATGGGGCAGAATCTTCACTCTGCAGGGGATGCGAACAAAAAGATGAGACAATCGAGCATATCCTTGGCTAACACTGGACAATATAAGAGAAGAAGCACCTCTTGGCAATATTGTCAACTACATTAAATATGTAGGCTGTCTCACGAGCTGGGAGGTGCCTATCTACTTAGGAGGATACACAATGGTCCTAATGAGGCATAAGTTCCATGGGTTAACCTACCCTCCACACGTTACAGATATCGATATGTACTTGTTGATATAAGAGAAACAAAATCATTTAATATTTTTAAAAATAAAATAAAAAGGCACCTGTTGCAAATTATTTGACATGAAGTTCAAGTTCACGCCATAGTCGAAACTATTCAATACTTAGCATAAAAATATGTAGCAATTATTAAATTGTAATAGTCGACTCTTAAATAAATAATACATTTATATATGTTGAATTTTGATATTTCTTAAATTTAATATTTATATATTTATCTTGTAATTTTAATGTTCTTAATCAATTATTATTTTTATATTTCTTTTAGGATATAATTCAATAGATCTGTTTCATTAATTATAATTCTCAGCAATTTATTGAATTTTTATAAATTTATATGTTAATGTAGGTATATAAAAAATTCTATCAACAGCAAATCCACGTGCTGGATTTAACAGTTTACTTACATTTTGAATTTATAATAAATAATTATTGTAATTTTTATGTAATATACCTTATATTATCATTATATCAACAAACTGAAAATTTCATTTACTCTGTTAAAACGTTTTTAACAAATTTATTATTTTTTAACTTTCCTGTATCTTGAAAATGAATCGTTTTAGCCATATGTTTATTAAGCAAAAAATATTTATTTTGATACCCCCCTTAAAACTTTATCGGTATATTACGGGATGTATTTCATTTTCATAGGAGTACAAACCATTTGGATTTTAGGACAACTATATTTAGGTTCTTGTCCAATTTTTGACATCACTAAATGTGAAATATAGTAGATTGGTAGCTTTTGTATATTATGGTATCATGATGAAAAACCATTTTAAGACATTCACAGAGCATTGGGTTCTGAACAACAGTGATTATTAAATCAATCTGATAATAAAATAACGAATAGAACATTTTTTATTGAAATTAGTTGTTTTTTAATGTGTATCATTGTTGTATTACAGGTAATAGAGGCAAAGCTACCAGTTTCTTTGATGCAGCCCACGATTCCGGGTTAGCCTCGCCATTGGGAGTGATACTGAAACAAGCTGGGCAAGAAGTACCATCTTGGTTAGGAAGCGTTGGTAGCGGCGGAGGTGGTGCTGATCAATTTGGTGGTCGCGATGTTAGAGGGGTAAGATACGGAGAATATTAATAATAATTATAATATTTATTCAGCTCTGAGACATACATGTTTACAATACTCTTTAAAAGTCTAAAAAAATATATAAACATATAGAGCTATTATCCTTGTCAACACATACAATTTAAAAAAAAATGTTACAAATAAAGTTTAAAATAGTATAGTAAACACTAGGATGAAACATCAAACGATATAATAAAGAGATACCATGACGGATCACCGAGTATCAGTCATACATTCTACATAGAAATAATATGTCTTAGACGAAAGATGTGCATAAAGCTTATATTTGAATTTATTAAATATTTTTTCATTGCCATCAATATGAATATATTGAAACATTCAATACCTCTGTAGATGTCGGAATTCTGCCCAACTGAAAGCCTAGAAAAACACTGTTATAAGTTACCTGAAAAAATTACAAAATTATTTTTAAAATAGATGAGCATGTCGATTTATTTAAATGTAGTTTTTAATTCTAAACAACTTAATAATTTGTTTAATATTGTTAAAAATAAAGGTAGTTTATTCATTTACTTACAAATTTTATATTTTGTTGTTCCCTCTAATTTTTTCGCTAACTGCGCGGTACTAAAGTATATGGAATATGGAAGCAAAAAAAAAAGAAAGGTTGATTTTAAGATACGAAAGGGATACTTAAATGACAAAATACATAACGTACTCCCCATGAACCCCCTAGGCGCCATATACTCGACAAAAATAAATAGATACAATTCTTTTATAAAATGAAATAAAAAAATTGTGTGCAGAATACAAAAACAAAAACTTTCAAAAAATTAATGCGCGGCCGCGCATCCGTGAAGCTTAGAAGGAACCTTGATAACCTGTATGTGATATTTTGATGTCTGTTGTCTTGTTGGGTTTTAGATCAAGCATAACTTTTTGTAAAACTAATAAAAAGTTTTACATATGGCTCCAAATTATGTATAATAAAATAATTATTTGTATAAAAAGTTTTAGATCTTATATAAAAACCAAAAGTTAAATCAACTGATTTTCGAACACTAAATTTATTATTTTCAATAAAAATCAATCTTTTACAAGTTATAAAAGTAATACTTAAAAAACCGACTTCAAAATCGTGCAGATGCTATTAAAAATTGTGTACCCCCTTTATAACAAAAAAAAAAGAATCAGAAATCAGTTAAGGTGGCTGAACATACATAAAAAAATGAAGAGTTTGATGATTTTCTGTTGACCCAATTATTGGATCTTGACTAAATTTATATGGGACCACTCCTGAAGTACCCCTTTTTAATATTCTATAAACATTTTTATAAAGTACTATATTTATTTAACAATTACCTATAATATTACCATTAATCGAGTCTTTTAAAATACCTATGTATGGTAAGACACTGACAATTTGCTGTAAATAGTCTACTTTTGTGGAGTTTGTATAGATTTCGCATCTGTATTTTAAATGCATTTATTTGATTTTGTTAAATACATATTAATAATAGGAACATATCTGGGCATAATATATACAGGGCATTTAAGAATAAAGTACCGTAAACTGAGGTACTTGTAGATCTTAACTAATTATTAAGAAAAGCTAAATACATAATTTTCTAACTATCTTCCCTTAAGAATATTTACTTGATAGTTAATCACCATTATTAATTAATACTTTTATTTCAATAAATTAAATAACTAATTGAATCACTATTCCATGTTTTAACAATTTTAATTTATGTAAAAAATACTTAAAAAGAAAAAAATTAACTAAAAGTATAACGCCAGATGGCATTAATATCTTGGACCAAGTTTTTATTAATAAAAATGTTTACCCAGACAGTTTTTTTAGTTTTCTCAAATTGTTAATAGATGGACTTACACCGTTTTAAAATGGAGCCATTCAGTTTTTATCCAAACTTTTTAAACACCTTATATTTCATAACAGTTAAGATTAATAATTATTCCTCGTCCAATTTGTCACAAAAATGGGACTCTTGGTTGATGGTTAAATTTGATTTGTAAATATTGTTTATGAGGTTTTCATCCAAATAAATTGAGATTCGTCTACAAAATGTCAGTATCATGCTGTAGAACATAAGGATCGATTTTATAATTAATATTAAAACATCCATTGATCAATAAGTTCATAAAATCTGAGCCCCATTAGTTAATGGACCTACTCCTGCTGCTCCTGAAACTTCTCAGGCAAAAGAAACACCTACTGAGGTAGGAGAAAACATACCAGAGGAGAATCAGTCCTTGGTCGTAGAACCACAAGAAAATGGGGCTACAGAACAAGAAACTGACGTTTCAATGGAAATAGGGGACTTGGAATCCACAGCACGCGAGCTAGGTGAAGACGAGGAGAGGACTCTTTTAGGGGACTCACCGCTGTCTGACCCAGCTGACTTGCCGGAGGAGGAAGTAGGGGGTACCTTTAAAAAAAAATATGAAGGTAATCCAAGCAAATATACATCACTGTTGGGCGGCAACAGCTGTCCTACAACGATGTATAATAAAACAAGACATTGATCTTGCTCTAATCCAAGAACCTCTTATATACAAGGGGCGAATTAGAGGGTTGCATATATCAGGGGACTATGACATGATTTATTCAGCGTCTGGACACCCAAGAACCTGCATTATTACAAATAAAAGCTTGAAGGTGTTTCCACTATGGGAATTTTGTACAAATGACCTAGTGACAATATCCCTAAAGCTAGACGCAGGAACTAATCTGATTGTTGGATCCGTATATCTACCATATGACCAACCTGGGCTCCCCCCACCAAGGAGGCGAGAGAACTGGTTAGTCATTGGTAAAAAAAGAAAATCGAACTTCTTCTAGGGTGTGATGCCAATGCTCACCATATAGTATGGGGGAGCACTGACATTAATAACCGAGGAGAAGCTCTTCTGGAATTTATTGCTTCCAATAAACTAGAAGTTGCAAACGTTGGAAATGAACCAACCTTCGTAACATCTGTGCGAAGGGAGGTAATTGATATAACCCTAGGTACACAACGGGCATGTTCATTGGTGAGGAAGTGGCACGTCTCACAAGAAGGGTCACTTTCCGACCATAGACATATCCTGTTTGAGCTGGGTACTAAAACCTCGGGTGAGAAGACATATCGTAATCCTAGGACCTGTAACTGGGGAGCTTTCAAGGAAGAACTCAAACAGGGACTGGAGGACTGTCCTCCGATACCGAAGAATTCAGTGGAAGTTGAGTTTATGTCAGAGTTTCTGACACGAACCCTAACCAACACGTTTGAAAAAAACTGTCCTTTAAAAATTAGGAAAGAGGATTGAGACGCTGTATGGTGGAATCGAGACCTTTCCAAAAAAAGAGCAGAAGTTCATAAACTCTTCAACCTGTCTAAAAGGTCGGGGAACTGGGAAGCCTATAAGGCGTACCGGAGAGACTATGGCTATGCCATTGGGAAAGCCAAGTAAAATTCCTGGAAGAAATTCTGTGACGGCATTGAAAGCCTTCCAGAATGTGCCAGACTCAGGAAAACTCTACAGAGAGATAAGCAAGGATGCATGGGATCTCTGAAAAATCAACAAGGAGAACTCACAAAAACAGAGGAGGAGACCTTAGATTTACTACTAAAGTCACACTTTCCTGGATGTGAGATTATTCTTGACCAAGAGAACAGGATTAATTTCTAAGGCCTCAAAAACAAACTGATCTCTTGCAAACTCAATAGTAAACAGAACAAAACTTGTGTGGGCGATAAATTCCTTTCAACCATACAAAACAGCTGGACCTGATGGTATAATCCCGGCACTTCTACAAAAGGGCCAGGAAGTACTGGAGGGACCACTGTGTAAACTATTCCGAGCTAGCATAGCCCTCGGATATGTTCCACAAAGCTGGAGGTGTGCAAGAGTGGTCTTCATTCCCAAACCTGGGAAAGCGATGTTCTACGGGATAAACCGATACATCGATACCAGTTTGCCTACCAATCTGGAAAGTCTTGCGATGCAGCCATACATAGGCTAACTCAAAAGGCTGAACAAGCATTGGAAAGCAAAGAAATATCACTAGGAGTCTTCCTAGATATAGGAAGGAGCCTTTGACTCGGCTTCATACAATTCAATACTGGGATCTATGCAAAGGCGTGGAGTAACCCACTGCATTACGAGGTGGGTAGAGTTCATGCTTAATCATAGAACCATTACCAGTAATCTCCTTAACAAAACAAGAGAGGTCTCAGTTAACAAGGGATGCCCGCAGGGAGGAGTGTTATCTCCTCTTATGTGGACCTTGGTGGTTGATGACCTCTTATGGGAGTTAGAGAGAGAAAACTTATACACGCAAGCATTTGCAGACGACATAAGCATCGTAGTAAACGGTAAATTTGGGACTGTTGTATCCGAAAGGATGCAGCGGGCACTAAATATCGTCGAAAGATGGTGCTTAAAAGAGGGATTGTCCACAAACCCGACAAAAACCTCTGTTGTTGCATTCACAAGAAAAAGGAACCTTCAAGGAATGAAGGAGCTTTATATGTGGGGACAACATCTAAAAATGGCAAAAGAGGTTAAATATCTTGGAATCACTCTTGATGACAAGCTTAGCTTCTGCAGCCCTATAGAAAAAACAACAGAAAAAGCTGTAAGAATACTATGGGCCTGTAGATGGATGGTAGGGAACGCATGGGGGCTTAAACCAAGTACGATGCACTGGCTTTACACTATGGTTGTAGTACCTGTTATAACTTACTCATCAGTCATATGGTGGCACAAGATTAAAAGCATAACAGCTAACAGAAAATTAGACAAGGTACAAAGACTAGCCTGTCTAATAATAACAGGGGCATTTAGAACTACGCCCACAGCAGCAATGGAGCTACTGCTAGGTCTTCCGCCACTACACCTTGTGGTGGAGAAGGAGGCTATGGCGGCGGCATACAGGCTGTTTACTAATGGATTTGGATGGGAACTTTCGAGAAAAGGACACCTCACAATGATATTAGAGAAATTAAAACAAAATCCGGTACTAAGAATGCCATCGGATAGAACGCCCATTATTCACGACTTCAGGAAACCTTTTGATATTCAAATACCAGAAAGGGCCAAAAGCCGGGAAAAAAGGGAAAAACAAAACGAATCAATCTGGTATACAGACGGTTCGAAAATGAAAAACAGCACAGGAGCTGGGATCTACCATGAGAACACAGGGAGGACAATTAGTTTGAACCTGGGGTCACTGTCAACAGTCTTCCAGGCTGAAGTATCAGCAATAAATGTCTGCGCCAAAGTCATGTTAAATGACTCTCTTAGAGATAAGAGAATCGTTATCATGACAGACAGTCAGGCAGCCCTTAAAGCACTAAAAAGGGTAGAAGTACAATATAAATCAATATTTGATTGCCAACAGTCCCTCCAGGCTCTGGCAGAACATAACAAGGTCACCCTTGAATGGGTGCCAGGACATGAGGGAGTGTTTGGAAACGAGAAAGCAGACCTCCTAGCAAGGAAGGGAGCGGAAAAAACTCTTATTGGACCAGAACCCACATGTGGTATCTCATACCAACATGTTAAATGGGTGTTAAAGGAACTTCCTGGACTTAGACAGTCCAAAAGATTCATAGAGGGGCCATCCACGAGCAGACAACATCAACTGCTAAACCTTAGCAGAAGCGAACTCAAGGCCGTAATAGGACTCCTTACGAGTCACTGCGACCTTAGAAGACACCTAAATCTCTTAGGGATATCTGATGACTCCCTATGTAGAATATGTGAAGAGGAGGACGAAACTCCTATTCACATACTATGTCACTGCCAGAACCTTAAATGGGAACGGGAATGGTGGGGGCACAATATCCGGAACCTGAAGAAATCGAGAATTCGTCAAGAAAATCAATCTGATGGGATAGAAACTGTGAGGGGTACAATAAGCCTAGAGCTTCAGTACAAGTGGGCTTTGAATCACGCCCTAATTCAGATAGATAGATAGATAGATACATACAGGTGAGGAAAACCTCACCCACCATAGAGTGTTTAAAATAATTGATTTAAAAGTGAACTATTTAACTTAATTATTTATTTTCTATTTAAATATTGCATGACAAAAAAATTTGTGCTTAAACAAATACATTGATTCGTTAAATTCGCTTACAATAAACCACTAAATACGCCCATTAATAATATTCTTGACTTGAAATTATAGGCATCCCCTTGTATAAGAACCAAATTATATACTTTCTTTATTCTTGTTATTTCGTTTTGAATGAAATAACCACGTGTACGTACTCTAGTGCAGGAAGTTGAAGTAAATTTTAGTTGAAGTAACTATTGTAATAATATAAAACGTTACACTATAAAATTATAATTTTATAAACAGATTAACTTGCAGCCACAGGTTTACAAAAAGATTGTAGGTATGTCTTACAAATTTCGGCAATCGATAAAAATTGGATTTTATGTCTTGGTCTATTTTATGCCCTTCAACTGAAAATTGTAAATATCTTCAAAACAACGCCAACGGCAAAACTCTGCAACACCCACCAATACCTTGATATTTCTGTAATTATTTGCGCTAATTCTATCTCTAGCCAGTAAATACCTACACCTTCTGGAAATAATCGTATTTGACAGCCAGAGATCCGTCGGATACCCCTTTAAATTTATAATAAAAGAATGATAACAAATATCATCAATAATCCTAACAAACACAACGATATCACATTGTAAGGTTGCCACGGTATCAAGTTAACTTTTTTGCTTGGGCATGTTTTTATTAATATTAATTTGTTTTTTTTTGTAGGGCGACTTTGGAAAAGCACAGAACTTTGCGACGCAGCCGGCAGAAGAAGCCGACGAGGAATGGTAGTGATACCCTATGAAGTTTTTTTATTAATTGTTTTTTCTGAAGATGCCGTTTTGTTAAAAGAAAATCGTTGACTCTTTTCGTTTTAGTTCTCATTATGTTTTTTAGTTTATAAATAAACACAATAAAAGTTTTTATTTTGTAAGCTGTAGTGTTGACATTTTAAGAACCTTCACAATCGCTAAAATATTTTTAGTGTATTTCTTTATGTAATACCGTTAGGGTTAAGAATTTGTTTTTTTTTTTGTTTTTGTTATTTGGAACATCTCTAAATCTGTGATCCATGATCTGTTCTTAATTACTTGTGAGAAAATAAAAATTTTATATAATTTTTTAAATTGGCTTGATGTTTTGTAACCTATACGACTTCTATTTGATATTTAACCTTCCACTTTTATGGCAATGGTTACAAAATGCAATTACTACAAAATTATAGCTAGAATCATAAAAAGCAATCAACCAAGTGGGTGAGCATAAAGTATAATTTAAAAAGGCTCTTTCAACTAGCGATCAAGTATTTCCGTTAAAAGCAATTCAGAATAGTAGCTATAGCAAGGAATAAATTTGAAGATGCTTTTTATGGAGTGAAAGAACATATGATTCGTTATAAAGAAAATGGTTGTACCAAGCACTAGTAACACTCTAATCTAGTTAGTGAAAATTGCACTAAATAAAACCCAATACGAAATAACCATTGAGTAAAGCCTGTCAGAAGAATTTGAAACTAAAAAAAAGATTTAAAACGGCGACCCAATAACAACGGAAGCAAATGCTTTTACTTTATATTTTTCCCAATTTTTATAAGGAATTTTAAAAATTTAAGTAAAAATGATAGCCTAGGTTTAATTAATATGGACTCATAGTCCACAATACTCTTAGATTTCTGCTAGAATTATTCAGATACGGAATACAAACCCAAGGAACAATCTACAATAACAAAAGACAAAGTTATTGCAGATGACGAAGTGCTCATAACTAGAACAAAGAATGAGTTTGAAAAAGGTTATTACTGTTTAAAATAGCAACAAAACATGGGCTGAGTATTAACCGAGGGTAAACCTAAGGCCAAAACGTACCCATATTTCAGAAATCGCCTAAAATTCGTATGATTTCCGCCGAAATCACCCTTAATTTTACACGATTTCAATGATTACGCCAAAAAAACCCTTTATATTTATGCGATTTCGCCGAAATCCCCTTAATTTTATACGATTTCGGTGATATTGCCGAAATCTACCTTAGTTCTATAAGATTTCGGCTAAAATCATGGCATAAAATTTCCTATGAATTATCTATAAATTGTCCTCGATTTTTGGTGATGATTTCGGAAATTTCGACAATATTTGTATTGATTTCGAGCAAAAACGTAAGAGTATTTTGGGAGTGGGCAACAACGATTATATGGAAGTTAATCAAATCAACTGTAAATTATATCGGAATGAGAACTACTGTTAGAAAGAGTTCAAGAATTTGAATATCTGGGGGCAACAATAACAGACAAGGGAGATGAAATGAAAGAATTTGATGTAAGAGGAAATAAAATAGTTGACCCATTGGAAAATCTATACCAATCTAGACATTTTAGGTCAGCAAAGGTGAGAATCTAAACCACGGTATAATATAGTAGTGAAGGTTTGATAATGAATAAAAAAGAAAAAAGATTAAATGTATGAGAGAGGAGTACGAGTGAAGAAAAAAATAATGCAGAGATAAAAATATATTGTCACCCAGATATTGAATAAATGGTTAGAATAAAGAATATGTTGGCTGGCCCATATCGCCAGAATAGGGTGAAATGAGTATTGATAAGAGATAGTGTGAAAAGTAGATATCCACAAAGAAATCAGATATATGCATTAAAAACTTACTACACCTTTCCCAATCGTAATTCAAAATGTGCCAATTGTATTTCCAAATAGTAATTTGAATATCAAAAAGCATCATTTGAATTTTCAAATTACTACTTGAATTTCATAGAGTATCATTTGTATTTCAAAAAGCGTAAAGTTAATTTCAAAAGTTATCAATTGTATTTCAAATTTGTAATTTTAATATCCAAAAGTAGCAAATGTATTTTGAATTAATCAAATTAATTTCAAAAATTAACATTTCAATTTTCAAAATAGTAATTTGTATTTCAAAATATATCAAAGGCTTGATTTGAATTTCAAAATAAAATAGACGTAAAGATTTGTATCCTACTCTGTTGATGTTATTTAATCAACCTGTTATAAAGCTTTTAGCTTCTGTCAATTTGACATTATTTTAATATATCTACAGTGAGAACGCATTTGTTTTAACAAAATGATTTCACAGGTCAATTTTTAATTTCAGCTGCGCGTCTTACACTACATTTGGATGTACTAATGACGTTACCATTTTCGTGTACATGAGATCATCGATTACAAAATTGTATGTAATACTTATAGTCCAAATGTATTGGTTTGTGAATCAGAGACAAATGGTATATCATAAATTTTGAATCTAAAATTTCATTAAAAGAACAGCATAGGGATTCGTATGTGCGAACTCGTCACGATTCGTATAGAAGAGAAACATTACATAAGAATAGCAGTCTGTTGAACGAAGATGGGCATCTCGATAAGTGAAGTATCGAAAGATGAGTATCCTACTGCTGGCCTAATAAACGTGGTAGGTTTATATCTTTTTAAGCTATTTCATAGCTTTTATCGCGGGCTTTGAGCGCGGCGACCGAATCAAGAAATTCCGTAACGAAAATAAACCTAACACACCCCACTCCGACCGACATGTATTGTAAGATAATAAAAATATTTTAAACAATATTAACTTCTCATTTATTCAATAAAAGAAAATCGAAAAATCAAAAAATTGAAAAATCAAAAATTCAAAAAATCGAAAATTCGAAAAAGAAATTCCGTAACGAAAATAAACCTAACACCCCCCACTCCGACCGACATGTATTCTAAGATAATAAAAATAAACAATATTAACTTCTCATTTATTCAATAAAAGAAAATCTAAAAATCGAAAAACCAAAAAATCGAAAAAGAAATTCCGTAACGAAAATAAACCTAACACCCCCTACTCCAACCGGCACAGCGGGGCGGCGTTGAAAGCCGTGCATCGTCTAACATCGTTTCAGTTCGACAGACTTCGGCACGGTGTTTGTGTGCGTGCGACTAGACGTATGCGTGTAGACTAGCTGCTAACTGCTCATAACTGATTCAATCTCTTTTAGACACAATTTCGGAAAAATTGAATTTGAAAATGAATAATGATCCACAAGAATCCACAAAAAAATATGGGACCTCCATTGACGCTGTATTTTCCAGATATTTAGAGGATATCGTCTCAAACTTATGTTTCTTATTTCAGTTACCATAAACCTATATAAAAATGCCTGAATAACCTACATGTATTGTAAGATAATAAAAATATTTTAAACAATATTAACTTCTCATTTATTCAATAACAGAAAAAAATTTGTTTTCTTATCGGTCACCATGCTCAAAAAGTGTAACAAAGAAAAAACTTGAATAAATATCAAAGAAAAAAAATACTGCATAAATAAATAATTATCATTGCATAAGTTGGTAAAAAATGCTATGCAATAGCTTTACCGCGGCAGTCCACGGGTGCCACAAGTATTTTTTTACGTGTATTGATTTGATTCACAATAAAATTAAAAGTTTTTTAGTTCAGTCCTTCCAATAAAATTTTAGAATTAAAATTTTTGATAACATTTGTTTCCAATTCACAAACCAATGACTTTGAACTATAAGTATTACATATATTTTTGTACTCGTCTATTATTGTGTAATTCAAAAATAAAGAGAGAAATAATATGCTGTTCTATTTAAAACACTCATTAGTACATCCAATTGTAGTGCTGGAGGCGCAGTTGAAAATAAAAATTGACCTGTGAAAGCATTTTGTTAAAATACTGTTAGACTCAAAAATATCGAATTTATTCGAACTTATACGTTCCTCACTGTATATAATTTAAGAGTGAATTTGAAAAGCAATTGTGCTGTCTGCTGAATTTTGATATTGAGAGGTAATGCCTTTTTTCGTGTAACTTGCTCAGAAAAAATCATCAGCACCTATGAAAAGTTATTTTTCCTACGACCACTTAGGAAAGTGACACATATCACACTATATAGTCCTATGGAAAGTGCCCTATATCACACGCGTATAAATAAGAATTTACTTTCCATCCGTGTACGAATATGTTACTTTCCGCAGTAGCTGTCACAAAATGTCAAACACTTAATTTCTATTTTGATCTATGTAATGTCCATATTAATACTAAAATCGATATGATTGTTAAATTATTGAAATTGTTGTAAATTAGATCCTAGATATTTACCTTTAACAATTATTATTAAAATAATGTTTGCTCTTTATTCTGGTTAAATACATAACCGATTAGATCATTCAATTGACACAAGGGCTATTAGCTCGAACTTATGAACTTTGCCATTTGAGACCGCGTTCAAATCCTGACGGCAGATTTTTTTTTAATTTTTTTTTTTGTTTAGAAAATATGAAAATTAAATAAATACGATTATTGTTGATTATTTTTTTAAATACATTTTAATTATTATAGTAATAATAACCTTGGTTTTACATTTTTTGATGACATTATTTTGTGGTCGTAGGAAAAATATTGTACATCACTTGTGTGAAAAGTAATTTTCCACACTCGTAATGTAATATACTATAATAGGACGTGCAGAATGTTCAGGTGTACTTTTTATGTAGAATATGGGAATAGTATTATGTAGATTTATTTTGATATACAAATGATTAGTTTTGAAATTAAAACATTCAATTGGAGTTTTTTTGGAAAATATATGACACATTAGAAATATATTTGACACATTTTGAAATAAAATTGATAATTTTGAAATATATTTGAACTTTTTTAAATAAAATTGACTAATTTGAAAAACAATTGACGCATTTTAAAATTGAATTGATAATTTCGAAATAGATTTGATACTTTTTTAAATTAAATTGATTAATGAAATGCAAATGATTCTTTTCGAAATTATCTTGATACTTTTTGAACTACAGTTGGAAAAGGTGTACTGCCGTGTTAATGAAAAACGCCTCATGTGATTCAAGGTGAAATGTTCACAATAACCCTAAACGTTTTAAAGCTCATAGCATCATATTCTTAAAAATTATTTCCAAAATTATTGGTTTAAAGTTTTGGATAAGGCAACGTGTTTAATTGGGGACATTTGAGGCCTATTTTTGTTCTATAATATTAATAATTGCAGATAAGGTATTTCTGTGACCTTCATATATTGCTTAAAAACACCGTATCTACACATGAGGTGTTTTTGTGTAATATTGTATCTTACTTTAGTTTTAATGTGTCACCAAAACACCTTATGTGTGTAGATAAGGGGTTTTAAAGTAACATTATAATATTAATAAAGGTCACGTGTTGTAAATTAATACCGTATAATATGTAATAATTATTATTGTTGAAAAGTTAAAATTTGCTATATAAATAATTTAGGAAAAGAAACAATCGATCTAACTTTAAAACTATTTTATTGTACCGAAAAAATACATTCGGTAGTTCCTCCCAAAAACGTCTTTGATTTTCGGGCATTAAAGGACATAATTTTTTTATACCCCTGCAAATTAATCTTGATTTAGGTTCATCTATGTTTTTTAGATATTTTGCAGTTACAAAATTTTGCTCTTTATATGGAGAATCATATTCGTATGAGTACCACATACTAAAACTACCCCTTTCGAATTTTAATTTGACGATATCACTTAGGTAAGGTTTTGGTGAATATTTTTTAATTTTCTGCAATGAACTGTTATCTTTCCATTCTTTAAAATCCGTTAGGTTCATTGTCAAAACATTTACATTCTTCATCTTGACTTGCTGGATGGCACCTTGGAAATCACTAAAGTCATAAACTTTTCCACCACCTCCAGTTTTTGAAGCTGAGTCATATGAATTTAAAGATTGTTCCACCTGGTGGTTGAAACTGTCAGCCGACATGAACGTATGACCTGGCTCGAAATAGTAAATTTCTATATTGTTTGCAGCAATTTCTGAAGAGTTGATAATATGTGCAATAAAAGAAAATAACGTCCAATTTTTATTTTGGGCTGCACAATTATCAAGCCAGATTTTTATAGTCAAAACATCACGTTGACTGAGCAAATATTTGTGGAACACGCTACAAATTTCTTCTTTTTTGCGCCCAGCTAATGCCTCATGCCATATTACAGCTGCTGGACACGCAGATTTTTGGTTTTTCCCAACTCTGACAAAGCTCTCATTAAAGGCAATGATCCTTTGGGTGAAAAATACCTAAAAGCAGCGTTTCTAAGAAGATAAATATTGATTTTAGCTTTAATAAATACCTGCTTGAAAGTATCGATGCGCGGCAGCATGATTACGTTTTGAAGATCTGCTGACACACATATATTTGAATAATAATAATAATAATATTTATTCAGGAAGCAGAATCCATATACATAAAATAGTAAAACACAAGACGTTTTAACAAAAATACAAGGATTATCTACTATACTGAAAAGGAATCGTATTCATCGTAGCCTATCAGAAGACAGACTAAAATGGTTTTCAATACGCCCGATCAAAATTAATAGTTTAAATATAAACACCCCTTAAATGTAGTACATATATAAATACATAATGGATACACATAAAAACATGAAAATTGTAATTAATAACAAAGACATCATAAATACCTACCTAGTCTAGTAGACGAAGCTCAATGAAAATTAGTGAACGTTGCTTCAAGCTATAAATATAAAAATATACAATGATCAATCAAATAATCACAAATTAATATTTATATTTTAAAATTGATCAAAAGCTGTCCCCGAAGTAATAAAAATTTCAACTTATTTTTTTAAACTCTGTTGGTATAAGATTCAAGATACGGCCTATTAAATATGAAAATGAACTTTTGAACATAGCAGTGGAATGTCGAGGAATAGAGATATTATCCTTTCTGCGAATATTAATATTGTGTACATCGCTCCAGAATCTTATTTTGTTATACAAGTAGGGGGAGTTTTAAGATTGACAATTTTTCGGTAGAGACAACAGGTGTGTAAAAAACGCGCTTCCTGAACAGATAGCCAAGACAATTCAAATCGCTTAGCTGACACTCTTTGCCTTTTTTTTTAAATTATACACTAATCTAATACAAATATTTTGCATGCGTTGAAGACGTTGACTATCATATCGTGTTACACAAGGGCCATATACCGAATCGCAATAATGTATATGTGAAAATACTAGTGATTCGCACAACGTACGTTTAGCTTGATGAGTTAAGATGTATTTATTTGCATATATCATTTTTTTTATAATCTGATTTACGTGTTTTACAAACCGTAGATCCGTATCTAAAAATAAGCCCAAGTTTTTTGATATTTCCGAAGTAGGTAAAGTTTCATTATTTACTATAATCTTAAATTGATCCTTATATTGAAGCCGACAGTGCTTTCGACCAAACAGCAGGGTTTTTGATTTAGAAGAATTTATATCAAGGCAGTAGTCATTAGATAATTGAAAAAGTGCCGTTAAATCACTAGTTATATTTTTAATGTTATTATGAAAATCTTTAGGGGGAAAGGATATATATAACTGTATCGTCGGCATAAAAATGTGAGCGGCAATGCTGAAGGCAATCTTTAAATAAACAAGTATAAATACAGTTGTCCATTCTGTAGAATCAGCATCTTCTCTATATTTTCTTCTTGCTTCCTTGGCCTTCTTAATGTGGACGTTCCATTTTTTGCAGATATCGCATTTATCCAAGTCCAGGTTGTTTTCGGAATGAATATTATCATGCTGCTGGAATATCTCGCACTGGTCGCATTCTTCGTGGCCCAACTTTGCAAATGAAATCTACATATCATATATGTATAATAGGAATACTCAACATGTTTATGCTTTTCCATAAAATCAGTGTACATCTTAGTAATAGTAATATCGGATGGAAGATATTTTCGGAGAGGTGCATGCTCTCTACGATAATGGGAGATGCATGGACTAAAAGAATTTACATGGTTTTCCAGTAATGCTCGGTCAACCTTTTTTCTGTTTTCGTGTTTTCCTCGGTTGTCTTGAATCTTTAAAGAAGTCGACGAATCTGTAGAAGATATGGATGTTTTGATAATCGTATTATTATTTTTGGTATAGCCAAGCGTCGTTAAAAAAAATGTTCGACATACGGAAATTAAAGATCCTTTCCAACTTTCAATAAAAATGTATTTGATTTATTTCTTTTGGATTTGCTATCTTCTGTTGAAATATCAATCGTCCTACGTTTTATAGCAGTTTGTTCAATGCTTCCATTTATAAACATATGTCTTTCTTGCCACAATAAGTTCCAATATTTTGTATTAAGCTCTTTGTTCCTCTTTAATCTTCGTGAAGCATTGTTTCTTACATGTTCCTGTACACGGAGGTAAAACATTATGGTTACTGCACAATTTCTCGCAAATTTTTTGTTTTTTGACACTTTTTGAATCGTTTAATTTTTTTCTTTTACGCAAATCACCTTTTTTTGTATACGAGTTTCTATTTTCCTCTTCCTCTGTATCACCTTTTTTTTCACATACTGCAACTTCCACTGCTTTTCTAGATTTACTAATAGGTACTTGGTTTTCTTCTAGTTCAACATGCTTGATAACTATTTCCCCAACTTCATACTCGATATCTGATATATTATTGCTATCATCACCAATCTTTACATTATTAGGTACTTGGTCTTCTTCTAGATCAATATTATTCTGAATAACGATTTGCCAAACTTTATGATCAGTTTTTTGACATACTTCAATTCCATCTGGACTAATCTCCGCACTACCAGCTAGCATGGTATCCCTTTTGGGATTATTAGTGTTTATTGGTAGTGGGGATACATTATCACTATCAGTATTTATAATCGCCACTTTATCATATACAACAGCCATTGGTTCCAATGTCAAAATATCTATTTTGGTTCTTTGATCAATTGATAATGGTTTTGGTGATAAATTTTTGTCATTAATAGGAATGCAGTCATTAGGTAGTCATTACCAAAAAATATATCCAGCGGTGTAAAATTTTGGAGGAATTCAAGATTGTGAGAAGATGCTGAATCTGATTCAGAATTATTATTAATTGCTAAAGTCGTTTTTACCATTTCCAGGATTTTCTTGCTTCGTGACGACATTCTGCAAGAGCATAATATATATATATATATATATATATATATATATATATATATATATATATATATATATATATATATATATATATATATATATATATATATATATATATATATATATATATATATATATATATATATATATATATATATATATATATATATAATATCCAAAAACACTTTATATACAATACATATTTTTGTTTAAAGAAGGATATGCTAGTGGTTTTGTTGCAGTAGCCAAAGTATTTTGCACCGTATTAGAGCTTTAATACAATGCGATTTTTTTTTCAGCATAAATTTTATCATAAATTTAAGGCACTTGTAAGTTGCTGTAACTTAAGCACATTTTAATAATACGAAATAACACAACAACTCAAAATATTAGTTATAACATTATGGCTTACCTACCCTATTTATCAGACTATTAGAAGAGAAGGAGATAGAATTTTTCGTAAATTTTTGTTTTTATGTGAAAAATAAGCATACGAACAAAAAAACTATACTAGACAAGAAATCCTTCTTTCAAACAAGGTCACATGTATTTATAATTTAAACGAAACAAAATGTATAAAAACTCACCTTTTGTTAGTCCTTACAAATACTTTTAAAAGTTTATTAACGTAGAAATTACAGTCACTATTATAAATCGCCTATTATTTAAACAAAAATATTATTATTCACTGTGATAATAATTATAATAATATTAATAATTAATATGTTAGCACGTCTCAAATAAGTCAACTTGAAACACTCTGACATAAATAATAACTCGAATATGAAACAAAAACACCTTAAGGACGGGGTATCCCTGTGTATTAAAAGTGTATGTGTAGACCAAAAGTTAAATCGACAGTTTTCCGAATATGTAGTGTTTAAAAATCTAATTTTTGGCCAAATTAAAAATAAAGGTCTAACTTAGGTCACCTTACTATTGAAAATTAATAAATTTATTATTTTCAATAAAAACCAATCGTGTAAAATAACCCCCTTTTATTTCATCTCAAAGGTGCCGTGTAGATTTATTTTAACCTCGATGTCAAACAAATAATAAAAAAAAAAATGTAATACGACCTAAGTTCAACCTTTACTTGGAATTTGGTACACTCAGAATATTTAAATATTGTATATTTTTCAAAACGTGTAGATTTGAAATTTATAAGTCACTTTCTTTGAAAAAACATGTCAAAACGAATTTGGACCAAAAATGGCGTCTAATTTAACTCTAAATAAACCCCGAAAAATCAATAATTACTTCATGTAATGTAATAAAGATGGTGCTCCGATCGATAATATTTTGACTAGTATTTGATTATTTCCGTTTATATTATGTGTGTTTACGGGGGATAAACGAGATGATAATACTGCCTCTGATACTGTTTATATGATACAATTGGAAACGACCTTTTTTCATCGGCACTCTTTTTTCGCCGGTGACCTTTTGACACGCGCCTATTTGTTATGTTATGATTATCGGTTATTTATCAACTAAAAGTATAGGAAATTAGTACATTGTGAATGATATCATTTTAATGCTATTTTTGAAACTAGTTCAAAAGTTGCATTTAACGATACTCAATGTTTCATTTTACCGTCAGTTTTAGTTTGACATATCCGTCATTTTAAGTTTACAAAGCTCAGTTTCTATTCGAAAGTAAGAGAAACAGTCAAAATAAAATGCGAAAAACACTTTTTATCAATTTCGTTTATGTCAACTGAAAGCGACAATTGCTGAAGACGTAACAAATAAATTAGGTCAAGAAATAAAAAAATCTATACTATAAGTAACATACCATATATTATACCTGTTAAAATAAATCAAAAATAAAAGAACGTATCGTTGACGTATATACTTTTCCATCTGTGATTAGTGATTACCAATTGCAAATTACGTATGAACATGCTTATGCGCAAAAAACCATTATTTCAAGTACTTGTATGATTAAAGTCCATTAAATTATTATTTTTATAAATTTGCTAATCTTTGCACTTTAATTTTCATTATATGGGGTATCCAGACATTTTAATCCTCGTCCTCTTCTATTTAAAATTATCTCAGGTGCCATATATTCCGAGTAAAATTTTTCTAATTTTTCAACCATATTTAAAAAAAAAAAAAAATGGGTTGAAAATTAATTTTTTCAACAAATAGTGGATTTTCATCTCCAGTATATACTACAAAGTAGCACAATTTTCTTGGAGCTATACCTAGCTGTCCTTGAATCTAAAAGTATATAAAATCATTATTAGAAAATCAAACATAAAAAGAATATTAATATTGTATAGTATCATTTCTAGCACATTTCTTAAAAATCATGAATTATTTTAACATATTGAAATTTTTCACCTGGTAAAAGTAGTTATGGTTTTCTTTTAAATGAATGTCACCATCTTCTATTTTTAAGCATGGAAATGGGTTTGAATATTAGGTAATGTGCGCCAATAATGTCAAATTATGACAATTCGCAGAAAACGTCAACTTTTTATTTAGATTTTAATGTGCAAAAGCCTACCTACTTTGGATATTAATCGTAGAAAAAATATATTCAGAATAATGAAACATTATTATTAAATAACAAGTTTTTTTATTGTCAATTTAATACGTAATATTATTTTTTAATTGCAAATGTTTGAATGTTAAAATTATAGCGTTTAATTTTTTTATTCAATGACGAACTCGAGAGTGATAGAAAAAAAATACTACCTACCTTTAATGCAGGAAGTCGATGTCAATTTATCCAAAAATAAAACTGATTAAAATGTACACTAGGACACTTGGCACAAATAAATAAATTTTCTATTAAAGAAAATAACACTTATTAAAAACAAACAGCACAATAAAACACTTCAGAAACGTGTAATGTAATTTTGAAAACTAAATACCCGTAAGCTTGTTTGTAAATTTATAGACTCTTAACTCCTTCCCCCAGCCTTCATTAAGTATATTAAAAGTCGTGACGTCATATTGGTACAGATATACGGTAATGTGTTATTGACAATCAGGGAAATAACTACCTAAGATAAGATAAGATATATGAATGTTAAATACCTACTCATAATATCTATTGTAGGGTTTTTGTACTTTAATAGGATAAATATTTATGCGGGTCTGGAAATTCCAGGAAATGACAGTCAAAATTACCCAAAAACATTAGGTTAGTACCAACATCAGATAACAGATAACTTCGGTGTTTAACCAATTAATCACAATTAATATTCTTGAACATTCAAATGACAAAAACTTCCATCTTTAACCAATGAGAATATAGTTTTCATTCGATACTTCAAAATCACAATTTATTAATTAGGTAGAATAGTTTTAAAATATATTGCGAATTGCAACACGTCAATAAGCGTCCCACTCCGACTCAATGTGACGCAATTATTGTCGCAATATATTTTGAAACGACTCTATATTCGTGACTTGAAATTATAAACATCCCTCGTATTACTACCCGTATATAAACCAAATTATTTATTTTAGGAAATATTTATATTTAATGTAAGGCAAGATATCGTTTTGGTTGTTACCATCTACATTCTTTACTTTGGTCCAGGAAACAAAGTCAATTTTCGATAAAAATAAAATGTAATAAGTAGGTAATATTTTATGAAACAGTACAATAAAAGTATTGAAATAAAGTATGCTCATACTCCAAAATGAGTCCTAGAGTTAACATTTTTATAATATTATAAATGGCATATAAAACGATTGGACCGTTTTCACAATCGCGAAATAATTTTTTTTATTTGGTGAAATCCCGGCAATTATTGAAAAATAGATTTTATGTTCAGGACTATTATTATGATTCTTCGAACTCAGTCTACTAAAAACCGGTTTATAATACAATATTCCCTAATAGCTAGTCGGTCGATATTTATAGTTACTTAAAGATTTCTGTAATAATTTGCACTAATTCAATCTCTAGTCGGTAGGTAACAGCACCTCCTTGATTGAATCTAAAGTGACATAATTTTGTTCAGAAATTCCTAGGAGACGCTGTCCTTATATAACTACAGAGTAAACAAGCTTATGCGCTGTAAGATAAGGTGTTTTAAGTTAACACGCTATTTAAATTCGCAGTTGAGGCTTTCTCTTGCAAGTTAAGGCGTTTTAGAGTAATATTTGTAGATAGGGCAGTCTTACATCACAAAGGTGTGAGTTTTCAGTTAAGGTAAAGTTTATTTGGCTATTTATATCCAAACTAAAGCAAGATAAGGCGTTTTTGCTTCACATTTAGGTAGAAAATTGCTTGATCTTTCATATTGCACACATATCTCAATTTTGAAAAAAAAAAATGTAGTCAAGGCGTTTTTCGTTAACACGGCAGTGTAGTTATTAAGGATAGAGAATTGGCAGGAAGTAACCACGAATAAAAAGGAATGAAGAAAATTAGTAGAAAAACTCGAAACTATGTATGACTAAAAGTGGATCCAGACCAAGCGCGCTGCTCCGTGCCGAACAAAACCGCGCGGCACTAGTAAAATCGATGCCGAACGGCGCAGAGAAATATTTTGTATTCGTCACTGTTCCAACTGGCTCGCGCGCGTTTTGGAGAATGGAGTATTCCAAAAAAGTAAAAATTGCTGCTGCTATTATTATTAATCAACATTTTTAAATAGAAAAAGACGAATTAGAAAACGTCGACATTGGGTAACACCGATGCTTAGAAATAGATCAGTTTATAGTGGAACAAATCTATTAAGGGCCAGTTTTTCAATGAAAGTTTAAACTGAGTTCAGCAAATGAACTGAGTTTAATTAAAAGATGGTGTATTTCAAATGTAGTTCACGTCTGAACTTAATTTAAACTATCCGAAAAATTGAACTGTCAAAGTTGAGCGTTTAAACTCTTTAAACTAAGATCAATGTTTTGACACTGACATAATATAAGTATATTTCACTTTTTTTTTACATTTTGTGTTCGAAGAGCGTTCGAAGTAATAAATGAAGACGATGGTGAAATTGCTACATATTTAATGCATATTAATGTACCATGTACCCAAGAGAATATGCAAAGTTTCATTGGCTAACAGAATAATTAACAAAATAGGAGGACTTATATAGATATAACATTTATAATAACATATATTTTATTCTCTAGAAATAATGGTTTAACTCCTAAAGTCATGGTTTTGATAACTATATGATTTGTTGCATCGATATTCTTCTTAATTACCACAACCAAGTAGAGTAGTACATAAGTACAGAAATTAAAATTTACCAACAATTTTTCTTCGTTGCTCGAAAAATTGGCGATCTGTCAATTTTTTTTTCATTTCATACAATTTTTCAGATTCAGTGTGAATAAATTGTTTTTAATATGGTTTTTAAAAACGTCAAATTGACATAGAGCATTCAGTTTTGTCAGAAATTTCTCGATTCAGAACTACCAATATAAATTGAACTTAGATCACTTGAACTGTGATACTGACATGATTGAAAAACGCTATTGATGCTAATCTCAGTTCTATATTTGATCCAAGTTCAGGTGAGCGAACGTTTAAACTGTGATTGAAAAACTGGCCCTCTGTGACATGTTCATTGGTAATATCGGACAATTTGAAAATGTTTGCCGTATGTCGTCTGCGGATTTCGAAATCTTATTAAATTTAATTGAGCCAGTAATACGAAAGAAGGATACAAACTATAGGGAATCTATTTCTCCCAAAGAAAGATTAGCTGTAACTCTACGCTTCCTGGCGACAGGAGATTCATTCACCAGTTTAATGTACCTTTTTAAAATATCTAAACAAAGTATTTCGACTATAGTTATTGAAGTTTGCCGAGCTCTTAATGAAGCATTAAAACACCAAGTTCAGGTAAGTCCTTTATTTAAAATTGTTTCTATACACTAAAATTTGAAAGAAAACTTTGTGCTGTATCATATTAAGACGTTGAAGGTTGATCCGTGTTATATATTGATACAGGACTGAGTTGTGGATGATTGTGGAGGAATGGGGCTGCTTTGGGGCGTACAATTGAGGAAGCATTGCTTGAGGAATATATATTTTGATATGAATACCTGTGTAATTCATTAAACGTTTCCATCTCAGCTTCAAAGATTAAGTTATTCATTTTATGAATAAGGATGGCTCTAGTTATGTCACTTAATTTTCGTAGCTTATTAGCTACATGCTCTCCATACACAGAGAATTTATCGCGACTGGACACTGGTTCGCTTGAAATTGAAGCTTGAAATGCTATCGATGACGTCATATGCTTTACTCAATTTACGGTCTTCTGTTGCCATTTTACGTTTTGGATTTTTTTTGGGGGAGACAAATATCTTTCGTTTGGCTATTGTATTTTTCCCATTGGTTTGAGAGGGGGTTTCAGTGACATTTTCAATAGATTGCTCAGTAGTTTGTTTTTCAGTTTTTAGTTCACTTTCATCATTGGTATCATCAACAGAAGCTTGAAAATCATCTTGCGAATTTTCTTCGGCGTATATCTGCAAATAAAGAAAGTTTTTAAAAATCACAAATTTTTTTTTAGATGCCACATTCTACAGAAGGGTGGTTACAATGTGCTAAAGAATTTGAGGAACATTGGAATTATCCGCATTGCGTAGCCGCTATGGATGGAAAGCATGTGATGTTACAAGCACCCATAAACAGTAGTAGAGAATACTACAATTATAAGTCATTTTTTAGCATTGTGTTATTTGCACTTATAGATGCGAATTATAATGGATGGAGGAATATTTAAACACAGTCTAACATGGAAAAAAATACAAGAGAAAAATCTGCCTTTGCCAGAACCAAAACAACTTCCTGGGCGAAAAAAAAAAACGTATTCCTTACGTCATACTTTGTGACGAAGCATTTGCTCTCCATGAAAATGTAATGAAACCCTATTCTGGTCTTTATGAAAAAGGATCGAAAGAAAGGATCTTCAATTATCGATTGTCAAGAGCACGGCGAGTTTCAGAAAATGCTTTTGGAATACTTAGTGCAGTATTTAAAGTTTTGAGAAAACTCATACTCCTTGAACCTAACAAAGCTAGAGATGTAGTATTAACGACTTTTTATCTACATAATTACTTAAGAAAAAGTAAAAATTCCAGAAATACCTATACTCCTGCAGGAACTTTTGATAGTGAGCTAAATGATATGGGACAGTTGTTGCTGGAACCTGGCGGAGGGATGATGTAAACCAAACCTCAATGTGCAAGTTAAAACAAATACCAAGGAAAAGTCCATCAAATGCGCAAGAAATACTAGAAGAATTTGCCGAATATTTTTTTACAAACGGGCGTATACCTTGAAAAAATGACCGTGCTTAAATAAATATTTTATAATAATATGCAAATATTATTTGTTTTTACTTACTTCTTCTGTGTTAAGAGTATCCTTTGGTGTGTCCTTTTCTGATAAAAAATTAAAAAACTTGAATGCAAACCAGTTTAAGATGTAAATATCCTCCCGCCTTAAAAGCGTATTATCAGTATTATACAGGGTGTTCCTAAATAAAATGTACAAACGAAAGGGGGTGATTCCTTGACATATTTAATGGCTAAAGTAGCATATAAACATGGGTCCGCAAATGCTTGGTTTTCAAAGTTTTTTCTAAAAAAAAAAAAACAGAAAAAATGTGCGTCACTGACTTTTTTATAAATTAAATATTTTTTCTGGATTGAGCAACTAAAAATGCAACTTGCTTTCATCGACATTTTTTCGTATCTTGCTTCGTTTTCGAGAAAAAAAATAAAAAGTTCATTGCATACATCTGAAGAACAGAAAAAAATTATACACTCTGTATCTTGAAAACCAAGCACTTTAGCCATTAAATATGTCAAGAAATCAACCCCTTTCGTTTGTACATGTTATTTAGGAAAACCCTGTATATGGGATATAAAACATAGGTATTATTCCTACCTTTTCCAGTGACAGTCGATTTTTTAATTTTTCCTTTTTCTCTTCTATACGAAGACAATAAAGAAGTCATTTTAGATTTAACAGCATCAACATCGATTCCCATTTCCAAAGAAATGTTGGTCCAAGCATCATGCTTTTTAGTTTTAATGTGATATGTGTTTTCTTTGGGATCCCACAATTCCGGTTTTTGGCGATATAGGTCTATCAATTTTTCAATAGCCTCATGAGTCCATTCGAATGAAGCACTCATTTTTTATTTCACTTCAAAGAAAATTCGAAAACTCAAAAAAAAAAAAACACTTAAATAACAAGCGTAGACGTTTTCGCGTCCAAAACAAACGCGCACAAACATACGTTTTTCTTTGATGTACCGACATACGCCGGATCGCGTTCGCTTTTGTTACAGAGCAGCACAAATCTGCGCAAATCAGCGCAGCTTGTCGTTCAAACCCGAAGCGCTGCGCCGTTCTGAACTGATTTGAGCGGCGCGACGCAGAGCAGCGCGCTTGGTCTGGATCCACCTTAACACAAACATGCCTGTTGTGCTCGTATATATAATAAAAGTATTTTCTACATTACATTATAGGGTAAAATTCAAAAGAATGGTTTGGTTTTCATATTTTTAATATATAAATTTTAATTACACTATAGTAAACTGCTCGAGGTGCCAGGCGCGTTTATGGCGTTCGTTGGAAAATTACCCTGTGTCCACATAATGAGGTTGTGTTCTGGCATCTGAGAAGCTTGGAAATGGTCGCTTAACAGCATTTGGGAAAAATTTACATGTCTTTGATAAGCCTCATTCTCTCTTTGAGTATCTCCGCAAATTCGATGCAAATCTACAAAATACAAAGATATAGAATGTGTCTACAAAACCAGTTGTAAAGGAGCTACAGAAACTAAAATAGTACCTTTAAGAATTGCAGAAGCCCATAATTGAACATGCACGTCTGGAATTTTGCTAGCCAATTGCATTGCCGGCGTCACCATGTTCATGCTTTCTCTACTATTACCGAGAGATAAGAATATATGGCCGAGGAGAACCAATGAACATGATGTCAGTCTATTTAAATCCTCGGCATTCGCCATTTTCAGCGTTTCTCTTAAGTACCGTCTAAAAACAACTTTATTTTCAAAAAAAGAACATAAGCAGATGTAAATAGTTTGTAAAATTAAAAGCTAATACGTTATATAATACATATTCTTCTGAATGGGGATTTCTCCTATGAGAAGACAATATATTAATATTAATAAATATGGAAAAAATATGACCCTAGCACATTTTTGTCTTAAAAATAATTACTAGTTAAAACTGAAAAAGAAAATCAGGTATTTAAACTTTAAGTATTGCTATAAAAAAACGCTTCCATTCTTTTATCTCAGTTAAGAGAAAATGAAGTTCAGATGACTTTCATGAATCGTGTAACTTGTATCAGTTACCAGTTGTGAATACTCTGTGGCTATAATCTACACAACAGTATTTTTTATGCTTTTACAATACTCCTACTGCCTGAAACCATCATTTTCCCACAAGTCTCCGAGTGCAAATATTTTTTCAGAGAAATACCTGTTGAATTTGTCTTCATTATATTTCATTGGTGTTAGTATATTCGACCGACAACGCTGTATCCCAGACAGCTCTCGTTAATTGATGAATTTTGATATAGAAACATGGATCCTTAGGTAAAGGGATTAGTTTCCTAGATATAGGGTATTAAAAGTTTTAAATCGAAATTTGTCATAATTCAAAAACGCCTTTAAATATTTTTTTTTCAAATTTGGTGAGCAATATGTGCTTTAAGAAAGTACTATTTTGACATAAACTAACTTTTAAAAAATTAACCAGTGGCGCGCTATCAAGGTTAGTGGCAATTTTCCCCCAATTTTTTGCGCCACTGGAACAAACATTTTTTTTAATTTGTTTATTTTTAGTTAAAAAAGTAAGAACCTTTTATGGAGCTAAAATGAACGATCTAATTTAAAAATATATATATTTAAAGACGTTTTTGATTTAAAACTTTCAACACCATGTATCGGTCGAATATACTAACACCCTGTACATTCTTGGATAACCTATAATTGGATTAGATTACTTCTTAATATAAAATACAATCAAAATAATATCAAAGCTATGCGTCACAATAATACGGGCGTCTGTTTCTCTTTTGACAACACTACTTCTTTGGCTAATACCTCACCAGGTATGGAATTACGTCTAAAGAAAAAACAGAAAATATTTTCAACACTACCTTTGATTTTGCTTACTAAGTAGAAAGTCATTCTTGGGCCGGTTTCGTCCTCATTAGGACTTTTCAGCAAGAGGCTTTCTTTTTTACGTAATTCAATACCTGGTGAGGTATTAGCCAAAGGAGTAGTTGTTATCAAAAGAAACATGGCCACCCATATTATTGTGATGACTGGCTTTGATTGTATTTTACATCTTGGTAACATTTGAGTTTGGAATTATTTCCTTTTTTACTTAATCACTTTATAGAATAAACATAAAATCAAAACAAGTACCTAACGTTTTTAAGTAATGTCACTTTAGTTATTGGTGTTAGACCCTTTATAACTCATCAATTACTAGGCAAAGTTACAACATAGCAAACTAGGAACGTAACGTTTTGAAGTTTAAAAACCATGACTAAAATGAGAATTCCCCATAAAGGAAGTTATACATGATGTTCATAAAGCAAAATACTCAAATCTAAAATACTAACTACATTTTTTAACATACTTTGCTTCGTTATATCTTCCTTGAAAGAACGCTTGCAGTCCCTGTACATAATAAGCTGCCGCCCTCAGGCTGTGAGAATGCGACGGTAAACTTTCCGGATTTATCCTGTCATGTAACGCAACGAAATCTGCCTCTCTTTTACCTCTCAAATAGACAATGGCTAGGTTTAGATTCGCGAACGTCCACAGTTCCCTTTCTCGAGAGGTCTGAAAAATTATTACAACTTCAGTACTGAAAAGAAACAGTATATATGCTTTTAAAATAAAATCAGTCCAAAAACAGTACCTTGAGCCATACTCTAGTTTTAAAGCTACTCTTACAGTCTACTGTTTATTTAGAAGGAAATGAGTAAAATTAATGTCCTTCCATCCATAAATCTTCAAAACACTGTAGGAGTAGCTCATGTTTGATGTAATCTAATAAATGCAACTCTTGCACCCGTATGCATAGTCGATCGCCAGCGATTCATTCCTTCGTATCGCCAGCGATTCGCTGGCGAAAGCCCTAAAAGGTGGCGACCCGCTGGCGATTGTCACCGTCATGTCATTTCTCGCAAGTTTTCATGTTCTTTTATAGGAATTATCACCGGCATCTCTCGCATTTTATTATTGACTCATTTCTTAAAACTCAAAAAACAATGAACAAATATCAAATTTTTCCCTATAAAAGAACATGAAAACTTGCGTGAAATGACCATGCCGGAGAATATCTCCAGCGAGTTGCCACCTTTTCGGGCTATCGCCGGCGGATCGCTGGCGATGCGCCGAAATGAATCTCTGGCGAGTCGCTGACGATCGACTATGCATACGGCTGTTGGTATCTCAACTTTTAACAACATATTTTGTACTTCTTGCGTCTATTGTAAGTATGAAAATCACCTACATTTAACGCTGCAATGAACTGCGCCTCGGCTGCTTCCATGCAATTCATACTCATCGAGTAAAGACCCAGCAACGTATGTAATTGCGGCCCGTGTGTCTCCAATAGCCTCGGATGCTGTTTGCACAATGCCGCCGCCGAAGAGATTTCCTGCAACGCTTGTGTCTTGTTTCCCATTACCAACCTGCACATGATGATGTGTTCTAGTAACATCAACTGGAAGACGGACAAAATTGGCTTATTTTCTACAACTGAAAGAAATTTATGGTTGATAATGGAAAAAGGAGGGTTCGTAATGTGAAAAATGTCATTTTGAATTTAAACTCAAAAAATATATTAAAAAATGGCGTGCTTTATTTTTTGCAAAAAGTAGATAATTTTTAGGATAAGGGAAAACTATACAAAATATATTTGGTG